TCCTCCGAGTTCTTCAAAATTCATTTTTAAACTTGAATTAGCGCTGCAAGATAGATAGTTGAAAATGGAAGCTAGGAATAGTAAATTCGATGACCAAAAAACTTTGGAATTTGTTCAGTTTTATGAGAAAGAAGAAGTTTTGTGGAATGTCAGGCATGAAGAATATAAAAACAAAGATGCCAGGGACTCAGCGTTTTTGCGAATAGCAAAAGCCATGAATATGCCCCGAGTTGGACCGGCAGACGTGAATAACAAGATCAATAGCATAAGAACAGCTTTTAAGCAAGAGTTGCAGAAAATTAAAGAATCGAAAGGCACAGGGGCTGCAGCTGAAGTTGTTTACATTCCAAAAATTTCCTGGTTTGACGCTGCAAATAGATTTCTTCCATCAGTCATTAAGAAAAGAAAATCATTTTCGAATTTGGTAATGAATTTTAAACATTATGTAATATATATATATATATATATTGTTTATTTTTTAATCAAATGTTAATGTATGAAATGTATTTACAAAATTGTTTTTTAACACTATTATACGGACAACCTGGTAGAGCTTATTTTCTTCTTTAAAGTGTGCCAAAAAGTGAATCGTTTTAGTTTATTTGAAAAATGGCACTAGTAAAAGTTTGATTATTTTTATAATTTTTTTATTTTTTAGTAATCTATTAAGAATTTAATGTCGGATGGTGGTCGGAATTTTAATGCGAGCAATAAAAGGAACTTAACATCATTTTTACAATTGTATCACAATTTTGTCATCATGAACAAAGCTCCAGTTGAAGTTTGAGAACTCAAGCTTATTGATTGAGGATCATTGTGGTCAAAATCTGTACTGATAAAACAGTGAGACAAATTCTGTTGGTAGCAGTCAGGAAACGATTTAAACTTGTGTTATCATGATCACAGAGATCAATTAAAGTCTGGAATTGGGAAGGTGGTCGAAATTATAACTGTAAGATTCCATCGTTACAGATACAAAAGCTAGTAAATAAAAACATAGTTAAAAATAAAAATTTAATTGTTTTCTTATTTATTTTCAAATTTATTAAAGTTAAATTTAATTATTAGTAAAAAATTATTTTTTATTTAAAATATAGTATTTATTTTTAATAAATGACTATATTTTTGATAGATAAGGTTAATGTAATACAATTTCAAGTATTCATAGCATAACAAAAATTAAAATATTACATAACACAATTCTAAATAAAAAGAAAATGAATAAATTAAATCAAAATATTTTAAGTAGTTACTATAATGAAGTAGCTTACAAAAATGAAGTAATTTACAAATATAGTAAAGACAAACAAACTATTGATAAAATAATAAAATAAATGAGGAATACATAATAAAAATGAGCAGTGAAAAATAATACAATGAAAGAATAATTTGTACAACCAAATTTTTTCTAGTAAATGCATATATATATGCATTTACTAGAACGAATATATATATATATATATATATATATATTCGTTGAGTTTTATAGTATATATATATATATATATATATTCTGAAATGGCGACAAAATTGTGCACGGAGAAAAAAAAATATTCTGGTAAATCTAACGTACTGACATTTCTGAATAAAAGCAGAACCATAATTCCGGTAATAAGAGACAAAATATACAATATTTAAACCATTCATTTGGTAATTTTTCCGTTTATATGGTCACGGTTTACCGAAATTATGTTTCTCTAAATTATAGTTTTTATTATCACACATTCAAAAAAGAAAAAAAAATACAAAACTAAAAAATACATTTGAGCGAATAAATCGTTTTTATTCTATTCTCTAAAGTATCATGATAAATTTTCGAATTTTGCCATATTTACAAAATTACGCCACACATTATCGAACCATATATTTTGGCTAATTTCACCAAAATCATTACCAAAGTGCTTTGGTAAAAGTTTGATCTTTTTGGTTTGTCCATGGAGCTAGAAACGCAATAAATTTTACGATATTTTGGTAATTTTGATTGCATATTTTTTTTCTTCTCTGACTTGATATTTCTGTAAATTAGATGCACTTGTGTTATACTTAAATGGGTTGAACATATAGTTGTATTTTGGAAATATATTGATAAAACCCACTCAAAAATCTAATCTTAGTAATATTTATTTAGAAACTTGCGTGTAAAGTTCCAAACCATTTCCCATTTTCAAAGATAAAATGATTGAGATTTGTAGAATTTAGCTGTAAAATATAAAATATATTTGTATGAACAACGGCAGCTGTTTCGTTGCAATACAAAATTTTTGCAAAGATAAAACGAGAAAGATTTGTAGAATTTAGCTATAAAATATGAACTATATTTGTATAAACAACGGTAGCTGTTTCGTTGCATCATACGAAATTTAACTCTATGCAATGCTGTGAAATCTTCCACCGGTACTTTTTTATTGCAGATTTGGATTCGCTAGAAATATTTTCATTGGATAAAATATGAAATATATTTGCATAAACAACGGTAGCTGCTTCGTTGCATTATAAAAAACTTTTGAAAAGACAAAATGAAAGAGATTTGTAGAATTTAGCAGTAAAATATAAAATATATTTATATAAACAACGGTAACTGTTCCATTGCATAATACAAAATTAAACTTCATGAAATGTGGTGAAATATTGCAAACAAATATAAATCGGTATTTTTTTATTGCAGATTTGGATTTACTGGAAAAAAGTACTTTATTTTGAACTGCAGGTTATTCTAATTTAATATATAAATAGCACTAACTGAAAAATTAATATTCAGTGCAAATTTCTTAAAATGGCGATAATATTTGTTAATCGCCATTTTAATGGCATAAAATGGCGATTTTAACTCGAGAAATACAAGTCAGATAAAAAAGCTCTCATGTTGGATTTTTTGAAAAAATTGACAAGAGACGAGCTCGCCTGCTGTTTACCATCAGAATAATATAATTGAAATTCTTAGAAACGATTGGAGTTCAAGATCAAATTTTAACATAGTTATGAATAGAAAATTCAGAGAAAATCACTTAGAATTATCATATTATTTTATTTTATTTCTCCCTGGATTTGAATCCACCGTGGCAAAATTGTTTTCTATTATTTAAAACAAAGTGTTTAAATTTAGTGTAATCCAATCTAATTTCTTTTTAGCAAAGAATAATTGCTGCTTTTGATCCTTCTATGCTTTTTGCCTTTGATCCTTCTGTGAAAAAAAAGCATTAAAAGCTGAAGCTTTATGCAGAAAAATATACTATCGATTTCTTCACTTCTTCGAAAATATATTTCAAGAAAAGGAATTTTAAAAAGCCAATTTTAATGTCATGAGAATTTATAAAAAGTGTCACAATTTCTAATTTTCGAGAAGATGGCTGAACTGAAAGTAATGAAAAAGGGAAATTAAGTTTGAAAAGGTATCACGTTTGGTGTTTAAAATTTTGTTTAGCATATTTGCCTAATGAGTGTCATTAATCATGATGAAAAATCTGTCAAACCACTTTTTTATGCAAGACAAAAAGCAATATTGTTGTACATTTTAAACTGCCCTAATATTATTAAAATGTTGTTTTTTTTTAAAAAAAAAATTAAAATGGTTTATTTAAAAAAGTATTAGTAAATTGCAATCTTTTGAAACACGAAAAAATATCTATGAACTTAAAATATTAAAAATGTGTTGCGTTTAATTTTATAAATTTCTTCTTAATTTTAATAAGTTTTGAAACTTATCACATGAAACNCAATACGTGTAAGAAGACGCCGCAAAATGCTCGGAGAATTGGCTAGAGATGTTGTTTTTTTTCCACAGAAAGTGAAATTTCTCGCGTTATGAAAAGCGTTCTTGATCGCCTGCAACAAGAAATATGTACACGATTAAGTGACCTTTATTTCATATTTGGATTTCTACTAGACATTGAAAATTTATTAAACGAGGATAATGTTGATAACGACCTTGAAAAAAAATTGCAAAAATTTGGGCGTATTTTATAATACAGATTTCAATGGAATAGAACTTCTTATCGAAATATGTGACTGCAAAATGTTACTCCACAGTAGAAAAGAAATTGAACCAAAAACTCTATTAGAATGTTGTACTTTTATAATCTCGTATGGAGAAGATGTTTTTCCAAACCTAAGAGTGGCACTTCAAGTACTCCTGACTATCTCAATATCAACTGCTAGCTGCGAGCGTTCATTCCGCAAATTAAAATTAATTTTGACATATCTACGATCAACGATGGGACAAGATCGTCTAAGTGTCCTAACATTAATTGTGGAAAGAAACAAATTTGTAATGATCAACTTTGATGATAACTATTATTAATAAATTTGCTTAATCAAAAGCGAATAATTTATACATAGTAATTAGTTTTATTAATGTATTATAATCATATTATTAAATATATGTATCTCCTTAGAGATAATAAATATTTACTTTTTTATTGTTTTAAAACTGCGTGTTTTTAAAATATTATGTAAAATAAATAATAGGTATCTTTTGAACTAATTCTAGATGATCATATACAATTCAGAATCTAGTCTTGTTTTCTCAACTGCATTTTTTGTCTCAAATTTAAAGTCTAGCTTGAGCCTATGACTTTATTTACTTTACATTATTTATTTAATAATTTGGGAGCATATTTTACATATACTACTATATATTTTTCGAATGGGGGGCGCTAAAATGGTATTGTGCCCCGGGCGCGAGTTAAGCTCGCTACGCCACTGTAAATATATTCAGATTATTGGTACATGCTTAAAAAATATAGTTGATCGTCTTCTAAAAAGATTGCAGTTAAAGTTTTTGTTGCACGCCTTGATCTAGATGGCGCTGCAATATATTTGAAATTGATTTGTTTTTTAAAATCATTGTTTTTCTTATTTTTTTTAAATATATTTTCAAAAAATCCCTCTTAAGGGGGCCCATAATCATATGGGGCCATAGCCTGCTCTGGCGTAATGGGAGTTTACGCATTACCAAAATTTACTCGTTGCTTTGGAGCGGCACGCATTGGTGATTAGTTAGTGAGAATGAGCCTTTTAAAAGTCCAGAGAGTTCCAAGCATCACATTTCTAGTTAAACAAAGGTTACAAGTGTGCATTCATTTCCGTGTAAAATCAATCTAAATTCTAAACAAACTTTAATAGCTCAACGTATTTAACTTGTCTTTATTTGTAACTCTACTCAGGCTTCGTTTCGATATTTATCTAGAAAATGGAGAGTGATGTTACGGAAGTTGAAATTAAAGAAGAGTTAGTTGAAATTGATGTCGAGGTAACTGCAATTAAAGAAGAGTTGGATGAATGCTACATATGCGGAGAGGAATGTCCTCCGAAGGAACTTGAACTGCACATTTTGTCTCATATTGCCCCACAAATTTTTCAATGTAGTAAGTGCCTTGATCGATTTGGAAATGAGAGAGATCTCAAAGAACATCTCAAAACCCATCCGAAGCCATTTATGTGTCAGATATGCGACATGTCATTTTCCACCAAAAATTATTTGAGGCAGCATAGCATTTGTCATGCTGATTCAAAACCACATGAATGCGAAGTTTGTGGCAAAGCTTTTCTTCGACCTGCTGATTTAAAGAGACATTATCGGATCCACACTGATGAAAAACCATATAAATGTGAAGTATGCGACAGAGGTTTCAAGCAAAGTGCTAACATGAAAAAACACCAACAAACTCATACTAGAGTGTACAAGCCACGGCGAAATTTTCATAACTCTGATTCAGGGGATATACATCAATTATCTGAAGAGTACCCTCACTTGTGTACGGTGTGCTTCAGAACTTATCCAACTAAAGCCAACTTGAAGCGCCATCTCTTGACTCACACTGAAGAGAGACGTTATGTATGTAACATTTGTGGCAAGGCTTTTACTCAATCCTACCATTTGACTTCTCACAAAAGGATTCATACCGGGGAAAGACCGTTTAAATGTGGAATGTGCGGCAAATGCTTTGCAAGTAAATGGCCATTGCATCAGCATCTTAAGACTCACACTGATGAGAAACCTTACAAATGTGATGTTTGTAACAAAAAGTTTTTGCTGAAGTCCTATTTGACCACCCATGTTTTGATTCATTCTAAGCAACATGTTTGTGATATATGTGGTAAAGTATTCGCTCGCAGCGGATATTTGAAACAGCATTATCTCACTCATGCAATTAATGTTAAGGAAGAAAAAAAGAGCACCGAGTTTTTAGAAGTTGATGACGAATGAATAGACTTTCATTTTTGTTGTGATCAAAAACATTACTTATTTTGCAAATATAAATCATTGTTTCAAATCGGCTAAAAAACGGATTAAATGCATTTTTGTTAAAAGAAGGTACCTCCACTTTTAACGTTTATGAAATTAAAGTTCTTCCTCAGTTATGTGCCTGCAAAAAAAAAAGAAGAATTTCCTCTACTGGGTGTGATTTTTAACTCAAAGAGTTCAGAAGAAATTTTGTATTGGTGTGTTACATGTGTCAGAATAGTTATGTTTTGGCTAGAAGTAGATAGTGATTTCCAAGAAGAAAAAAGAGCTAAACCAAAAGCGTTAAATTTGTAACTACCCAGGACACTGCATACTTACATTTAATGTTTATCACATTAAGAACCAGGTCTTGGTGATAGCAGTTAGTGCAAACAGAGACTAAGATGGGAATATTCCTAAGGTTTTGGTAGTATTGTGTAACTGATTTAAGAAAATAGTAGTTCAGAGAATTTTGAAGAAAAAGAAGTGAAAATTTCCCAGTCATCCTTGCCAGCAATCCTGTTTTAAGTTTTATATTAGTGTATTCAACTTAAAAAACAATTTGGGAATTTCTTAAATAAATTATTGTGTTTAAAAAATAAAAATCTGGTATGAATAATGCGTAAATAAATAAGAAAGCTGTTAGGTCTAATTGTTATGAAACTTCTTATGTTTAATTGTTGCTAATAATATATTATTTGACTAAAATGTTTAACAGGTATTTTATTACTGATTTATTTGATCAGGAAAGGAATTTTTTTAAAAATTATTTTAATCAGCATGTATGTGCTCAGTTACCAACATGAGACGTACCCATGTAGTCACCAAATTTAATTTTATTTTTCTAGAGTTTAGTTTTAATGCCCTTAAAATCCCTTTCATTAAGAGCACTATTAATGATGAATGGTTAGAAATGGAGCTACCTTTATTTTGAATTAAAATTTATCAGTTGAAAATGCAGCACTATAGCTCACCTAAATNAATCGGAAAATCAAAAAACCGGAATGAAATTCGATACATTTTCTCGCCATTTTTTTAAAAAAAAACACTTTTTTCCTCATAAGATTTTACGATTTTTCTTTCTTTTTTTAAAGATGTCTACCTTGCCATCATTTTGGAAATAATCATTAGTGTATTACTTCATCATTTTTTCTTATTTTTAAGATTATTTCCAATTTTTTATTTTTTAGTTGGGTTTAACAATAAAAAAAACGGCTTTTTGTAGCGATTCAGAAAACCGGAAAAATCAATTATCCGGAATAGCGATGGTCCCGACCATTCCGGATAATCGGTTCCCTACTGTGCTATATTATTTGACTAAAATGTTTAACAGATATTTTATTACTGATTTATTTGATCAGGAAAAGAATTTTTTTAAAAATTATTTTAATCAACATGTATGTACTCAGTTACCAACGTGAGACGTACCCATGTAGTCACCAAATATAATTTTATTTTTCTAGAGTTTAGTTTTAATGCCCTTAAAATCCCTTTCATTAAGAGCACTATTAATGATGAATGGTTAGAAATGGAGCTACCTTTATTTTGAATTAAAATTTATCAGTTGAAAATGCAGCACTATAGCTCACCTAAATATAATATAAAAATAACACTTTTTGAAAGTGTTTATTATAAATTTCTTTTCCTGTATATTTAAATTTATTTATTTATTTTTTTTTAAAAAAACTATTATTAGTTTGATTGCTGTTTTGTAATATTATTTATGCTTCAATGAAAAATAGATCAATGCAAGACAAAATTGTTGGATAACTAACTTTATATATTTAAAAATCTTTCTTATAGATTTTCTTTTATCTATGGTATGTATTTTTATAAGATGTATTTGCAAGAACATTCTGCTTCAATCCAATTTAGTGAAATCGTAAATCAAACAGTTAAAATGCTTCAGTGTTGGATATAATAAGCTATAGTATTTTAAAAATAAATGACATCCTTAGACATAATTTATGTTTTTGAATATGCAACCTTTTTGTACTGATCATTATATACTTCTTACAATTTCTGCCTCACTACACTACTGAGATGTAACATCTGACTTATTTCAAATGTTTGTAAATTTAAATATGTTTTATCTTAAATGTCGTGTACCTTTTCTTCTTTTTTTTTAAATTGTAGAATGATATGTATCTAGACTTTGTCACCTAAAGATTAAGTTCAAATAAATTTGTATACTTAAAAGTTTGAGTAATTTTGGATTTCTAGTTCTTTAATGGGTTTAAAATAAAAGGGAAGTACATTCATATTTTGCTACTCTGTTTTTATAACTCAGTTCTTTCAGTTTATGTACGTTCATTACCTACAATATGTGAAATGCCTCGTCATTTTGTAAAATGCAAATGCTATTTATACAGAGTATGAAATGTGAAAATTATTATTTAGACTTTATTTGTTAGTTGCCGAAGATTTTTCATTAGTAATTTTACACAACTTGTTATAACTGTTTCGTTCTTTGCTTATAGATTTTGGGCATTCTAAACAATGACTAGCTATTCTATTTTATAAAATGACAGGTTTTATGTATAGAAGGTAATTTATATCTGCTGCGTTATATGCAAATTATTTGACAAGTTGAAAAAACCCCGTTTTTGTTTAGTTAAAGGTTCGAAATATTTCAGATTAAATATTCAGATAAATTAAAAGTAACTAAACCAGTAAAAAGTATTGTACAGAGTTCTTTTTTAGCTATTGATTAATATTGTGAAGAAAGAATTAAAAAAAAAGATATTTTAGTTCAACTAATATGTGATTTATCTGTATATTTATTACTTCACATCTCCACTTAACATGATAAAAAATATTTAAATGTAATTTTAATAGTGGATGTATGTAAAAGTTAGTGTCCCCTCTTTTCTGTATTTATAAAAATTTAATATTTTAGCATTATATAAATTTATAATATTATATAACAGCATACAATTTTTAGCATTAATCTTATTGTTATAATATAAATGTATTTTTAGAATTAATAAAAAATTTAATATAAGGGAGTCTTACATATCAAAGACTGGCTGATTATCGTATAGTATTTTAGGTGATTGAATTAAGTAATTGTCTTCATCTTGTTTATCTTCACTAATTATTTCATTATCACTAGGAAAGCAAATTTTTGTAAAGTATAGAAGTTGGCTAATATTGAAGTATAGTATGTAATCATTTTGAGAACTAATGTTCTAAAAATATTAACATAAGAAATAAGTTTTTAATGTTTCTCATCACTCAGTGAATAATTTGTTTTAATTTTATTAAATAAGTGACGAAACATATTTACCAATATAAAATTTTGTGTCCCCTTAACATTCTGTATCAAAATACAAGTTATGTTGTTTCTTTCACACCAAATGGACTTCTTAATTTAGTAGGACTGCAAGCAAGTTGACCTTTAGTTAGTGAAATAGGTGATGTCCCATTCACTGATTAATGAATCATTATTTTAGCATCTTTGACAGACAGCCAATCATCTTTGTGAATGTAAAGAGGTGCTCTTCGCATTTTTGTAATTTTCAACTCAACCCAGAAATCAGAGTAACTCACAATTTAGTGTCAGAGTAAAACCCTTGTCATGAAGATTGTAAAAGTAATTTCTTTTAATCAAGATTAAAATGATCAAATTCGGCATTACACACAAAAGAAACACCACGAAGATTTTTTTCAGATTGCTTTTACTGGTATTATGATTCCATCTAAATGCTCATTATCTCAAAGAAATTATTTTTTAATAATCAATAATTTTATCATCCTTGATAGATGGCTTATCTTTGTGAATATAAGAAACCCCCCTTCTTATTTTTAATTCAACCCAGAAATCAAAGTAGCTTGCAATTTAAGCATCAAAGTATTTATGAAAGTTATAAGAATAACTTATTTTAATTAATATTAAATTAGAATAATCCAATTTAATTAAATTAGAATTTTCCAATTTATTGTTATGAAATTTAAATGTTTTGGACAGCTTAGATTGCTCACAAAAATAATCTTTATTTTATTTATAAATTTTTTGTAAGTACTTAAATTGTGTGTTTTTTTTTTTTTTTTTTTAATTTCAATTTTATTAAAATCTAAAAAAACTAATTTATTATGCTAAGAATTTATTAGTTTTTTTTCTTCTTAAATTTACAAATTATAAGTCTTGAAAAAATTCGGAAAAAAGTGTTTTACATCTGTAAAATTTGCAAATTTCAGATTTTTCTGACACAGGGACAAAGAATGTTATTAATCATTACAATTTATAAAAATCAAATAAAAAAGCAAACAAATTATTTACAACTGCTACAAAGAAACAACTTCAATGTAAGTTTTGCTTACACAAACTTCTCAGTAGAGGGCGAGGATATTCAGTAGAAATTAGTTACCTAATGTCAAAGTTTACCGTGACGTCATTTTGATCGTGTGATTGATCTTTCTGTCTTTATAACTTTTGCAAATGTACTACGATATTTTCCCTTTTCTTACTATTTTTCGTATTTAATTGTCACAAATATTTTTTAAAATGTTCACGTTTTTTTCTTTTTCAGAACTATGTTCAAGTTGGGAACGCAACGACCTATAGGGGACGTTGTTATTTGAGATGAATGACGGCTAGCGGAACAACACTATAATCTGGTAGACAGGAGATTTCTCTTCAGAGTAGCAGGGCAATGTTCCTTCTTTATTGTGACTTATTAAATTTAAAATAGAAAAATGTTTGATGTTCTTCCTTATGCAAGCAAAAACAAAGTTTAATCATCTTACTTCAAGCATTGAAATATGCAAAAAGTATACAGAAACACATAATGTTGTATCATTTAATTTTGCAAAAGAACATTTTTGACAATAATTCTTATCAAAAAATTGTAAGTTTTAGTAAAAAATCATTATTTATAAACAAAAAAGCATAAAATTAAGAATGAGTACGATTAAAAAAAAATTATTCAAAAGTTCCTCAAATTAAAATAAAAAATTTTTTAATATTGTTTTTTTAGTATTAAAGTTCCTAATCAAAAGCGTAGAAATCTATTCTGTAGCGAACTATCATCAAATTGAAAAGAAAACTAAACTATTTACAAGAGTCAATTTTCTATTATAAAAATCATAACCCTTATAAATCCGCAGAATTCCAAAGTAGAAATGTTTCTACTTTGGAAAAAACTACATTTGAAAATTTTATTTTCAGATAATATATCCATAGATTATCCCTTCCATACTTGAAGATGACATACCACATAACAAAATTTTAAAATTGTAAGCTCTCGATATGAATTTCTGTATGTGACTTACAGAATAGCTAAATTGTAGTTCAAATTAATCATTCAGAATTAAAAAAATACTTATCAAGAAAATGATAAAAATTTATTAATAATCAACACAAGTAATACAGTTTCAAGTAATTCGAATTATTCTTTTTTGTTGTTTTCCTAAATATGTAGATACAGAAAAATCTATTATTCTATTAAGGAAAAGAATATTCTACAATTACTAAAGTTCTGAAATCACACTTTTTCATTGGAATGAAGTAAGCAATGTGGACTTCACTTAAATTTATAATGAATTAAAGAGAAAAAATGCGATTGCAACTTTGTTGTTTAAAGAAAAAAAATATTTACGAAATTGTTCTTTAAATGTTGGGAGCGTTTTGTTTCAGAATGAGTTGCGAATGTTCTGGGTCATTTTTTCATGTTCTTCTGCCTTTTCCTTAGTCAAATTTTGCTCTTTATTTGCTGCTGAAAGAAAAAGAAGCATTCTACTTTATGATTCTGATAGAACTAAATGAAAGTAGTCTGAAGATATCCACCCCACTAGAGGGCGGATTCAAGCGTTGCGGTCGCGAACGACAATCTACACTTTAATGGTGAAAATACTTGATATGTTACAATAGGTGGAGAATTCTGGCCTTTAGTTATGCCTGCAGCTGATATTTACATCGAATGCAGCACGAGAACCTGATTGGCGAATCTTGCCAGGAGAAATATTTTCCCCCAAATAGGCAATCGCAACGCTCGAATACGCTATCTGGGGAGAAAATCTGCTCCATGCCTTTTACCCTTTCCCTCTCCTCCTCCCTTCAGGTACTACATTATTTTTCCTTTTCTTAATATTTTTCATATTTAATTATTAAAAATACTTTTTTTAAATTTCCCTGACGCTTTCTTTTAGAGTTGTGTTTCAGTTCCATATAGTTTCCCAACTTAAAAGTTTTTAATCTATTCAAAAATCAAGAAATTAACTAACCTACTTCCTTCTAAGACTCTACACGCTACTGGTGAAGCATGCAAAGTGTTGCCATAGGTAGAGAGCTCTGCTGTACGCCACCTGTAGTCCATTTCAAATCTCGCTGATCAAATTCTCGTTCCCATGTGAATTGTTTAGGTGTTTACTTTGTCATCAACTTGAAACTTCCAATTTAAACTATGATACTTAAACTTATATATATTTAAAAAAAGAGATAGCTTAAACCGTTCAATCACGTTCGATTTCTTTTTTAATGCTTATTATTTAAAATTGGAATTCCAGTATATATAACTAAAATCATTACTGGTTCTTTAATTAGGTAAGCCTAATTTTCACATACTAGTTTTTAAAAATGGAATTTGATGTAACGGATATTAAAGAAGAAATAGTTGAAACGGCTATTGAAATTAAGGAAGAGCTTGATGAATGTTACATCTGTGGAGAGAAATGTCCTCCTAAAGAACTAGAGTTGCATATATTGTCTCATATTGCACCACAAATCTTCCAGTGTAGTAAGTGCTTTGATAGATTTGGAAATGAAAGAGAACTTACGGAGCATCTTGCTTGTCACGATAAGCCCTTTGTGTGTCAACTATGTGATATGTCATTTTCAAATAAAATATATCTAAATAAGCATAGCATATGTCATACAGGTTCCCGGTCGCACATATGCGATATTTGTGAAAAAGGTTTCCTTCGTCTCGCAGATTTGAAAAGACATTATCTAATACACACCGATGAAAGGCCATATAAATGCGAGGTTTGCCATAGAGGATTCAAGCAAAGTGCAAATAGAAAAAAGCATCAAAAATCACACTTCACTGTACAAAAACCTCGCCGTAATTTTTTTAATTCTGAATCGGGTGATATACACTTGCTATCTGAAGATTTTCCCTACATATGTACGCAATGCTTCAAAACATATCCTAGTAAAGCTAACCTAAAGCGTCATATCCTAACCCATACGAATGAAAGAAGGCACGTTTGTGATATTTGTGACAAAGCCTTTACTCAGTCTTACCACTTGACGTCTCATAAAAAGATTCATACAGGAGAAAAACCGTTTAGTTGTGAAATCTGTCACAAATGTTTTCCTGATAAATGGCGACTGCATCAGCATAATAAAATTCATATGGGTGACAGACCATTTAAATGTAGCCTATGTGATAAAAGGTTTCTTTTTAAATCTTATTTAGATACGCATTTTTTGACTCACTCTAAACAAAAGCAACATGTTTGTGATATATGTGACAGAGAATTTGCTCGTAGTTCACATCTAAAACGTCACTATCTTTCTCACGTTAAAAATACTATTTAAAGGCAGCTTTATTATTACTTTTAAACCATACCATGTAAAAATTTGCCACAATTTATTTAAAATTAAAGAGCAGCATATTGACATGTATCATATATTTTCTACCTATCCTTTTTCTGTTGAAAGCTTTTTAAAATTTAAATGAAATTTAATTTCTGCTGTAAAACTTTTGTGAATTAGCACTATTTATTAGGTATATTAAATAATAAAATTATATGTATTAAATATTTGACCAAATATTACTGTTTATTTAAAAATGATATAAATAATGAAAAATATTTTTATTTTCCTATTTATCAAAAACCTACAGACCAGATTTATTTCCTTAAATACAGATTTATTTCCTATTTATCAAAATCAAGCTTTGGATTTTAAATTATTTGCAGTAGGGAAAAAAGATATGTTTATATGTGAGAAATGTGACCAGCCCTTTAAATGTAGCCTTTGTGATATTTAAATGCATATTCTTTGACATGTTCTAAGCAAAAGCAACTTGCTTGTTATATGTAAAACAATCTGCCTATAGTTCAAATTTAAAACATTGTTTTTTTACATTCTAAATACTATTTAATGACTGGTTTATTATTAGTATTATACCTGACTATGTAAAAATTCATTATTATTTGTTTAAGATTAAAATGCATTATAAAATTATTGATATGTGTTTTCGTATATTTTATTTTTTCATGTTTGTTGAAAAATAATGTATTTATTATTTTGTTTGTGCAGAAAATATGTTTTGAAACTTATAATAAAATTAAAGTTCTGTTGCTGTTTATAAATTAGCATATAAGTTAAGTTAAAAAAAATTTTCCATTTTAAAGTTTTGACGAGATAGTTTTAAAGTTCTTATTATTTATTTATTTTAAGTTTTAAATGTTTGCAGAGTAGACAATTTTAATATTTTGCTTTTGTAAGTTTTATTGCTTTAAAAACATAAGTTCTAATTACTATTTGAGGTAACCTCTCAATTGGATTGATACATATTGGATTGATTTGAAATCAAAGTTTACAGAGAATAGCATAGAAAATACAACTTGAGCTGTTCCTCCGCTTAAACTTGGTTGAGGTAGTTTTATTTTAATGTCATTTCTTTCTATACTACTAATATCTAATTTTTCAGGAAAATAAAATTTCAAAGAATCTTCCTTCTTCATAAAATTTACTTTACAACTGTCTTCTAGTTCTTCAAATTTTTCCTATAAATAAAACTCTTTCTTCTTTCGACAAAACTCTATTACAGTATCATCAGTTATCTCAAAATTCATCTGTTTTTCAATATGTGTAGTGGAAGAGGTAAAGAAATCTTCACACTCTGATTTATCATGTAAAGAAATATCATATGCACACTCATTTTCAAAAGATTCAACAAATAATTTTATTGATGGTTTAGACTTGAGCTTAAATTTCATTTGATACTGATTTCCTCTTCTTTTCTGATCTTCTAATGGCTTTTACATTTCAATTTGTCCTAGTGTGGACCTTGTGCCATAAAAACCGACATTCAACCAATACATTTCAATTTGTTTTAAGTGGCTTTTAATTGTGATTTTTTTTTCTCATCACTTACAGAAAGACTTAAAAAAATTGAAATCAGGAAGGAGTGTAAATAAATGGTCGCCATAATGAGTTGCCATGGTCATCTAGTTTTGTTTTATTTATCAAAATCAAATGTAAGTGTTTTTTTTAATTCCTTATGGTGAAAAATATTTTTTTCCCTTTGCAACTAATTGTTTAAAAGAAATTTTTTTTATCAATAGCCTACACCAGTGTTTCTCAAACTTTTTGGTCTTTTAACCTCACTGCTAATAAGTAAAAAAATACTTCGTGTATTAAACTATTTNCATTTTTTGACTCACTCTAAACAAAAGCAACATGTTTGTGATATATGTGACAGAGAATTTGCTCGTAGTTCACATCTAAAACGTCACTATCTTTCTCACGTTAAAAATACTATTTAAAGGCAGCTTTATTATTACTTTTAAACCATACCATGTAAAAATTTGCCACAATTTATTTAAAATTAAAGAGCAGCATATTGACATGTATCATATATTTTCTACCTATCCTTTTTCTGTTGAAAGCTTTTTAAAATTTAAATGAAATTTAATTTCTGCTGTAAAACTTTTGTGAATTAGCACTATTTATTAGGTATATTTAATAATAAAATTATATATATAAAATATTTGACAAAATATTACTGTTTATTTAAAAATGAAATAAATAATGAAAAATATTTTTATTTTCCTATTTATCAAAATCAAGCTTTGGATTTTAAATTATTTGCAGTAGGGAAAAAAGATATGTTTATATGTGAGAAATGTGACCAACCCTTTAAATATAGCCTTTGTGATATTTAAATGTATATTCTTTGACATGTTCTAAGCAAAAGCAACTTGCTTGTTATATGTAAAACAAACTGCCTATAGTTCAAATTTAAAACATTGTTTTTTTTACATTCTAAATACTATTTAATGACTGGTTTATTATTAGTATTATACCTGTCTATGTAAAAATTCATTATTTTTTGTTTAACATTAAAATGCATTATAAAATTATTGATGTGTGTTTCCGTATATTTTATTTTTTCATACTTGTTGAAAAATAATGTATTTATTATTTTGCTTGTGCAGAAAATTTGTTTTGAAACTTATAATAAAATTAAAGTTCGGTTGCTGTTTATAAATTAGCATATATTTGATAGTTTAAAAAAAAATTTTCTTTTTAAAGTTTTGACGAAATAGTTTTAAATTTCTTGTTATTTATTTATTTTAAGTTTTAAATGTTTGCAGAGTTGACAATTTTGATATTTTGTTTTTGAATTGCTCATATCACATTCACTTATTCACTATGTTAGGAGGAAATCCATTTTCGTAGTAGGGGGCACCTTTCAACATTTTTTGCGAAAGAATTCTTTGGTAAGTTTTATTGCTTTAAAGACATAAGTTATAATTACTATTTGAGGTAACCTCTCTATATTTTTTAGAGTTATAAGCCAAAGACAAAATACCTAATTTTACATATTTAGTAAACCATGCATTTCGTTGAAATCTACTCCTGCAGGGGGGCAGTTATCAATGGGTGGTGGGGCACATTTCATCAATCAAAGGGGACCTAAAAATATCATACATTTTAGGAAATTAACTTTATTCATAAAATAATGAATTGATACTGATTTCCTCTTCTTTTCTGACTGACTCTTTTCTTCTAATGGTTTTTACATTTCAATTTGTCCTAGTGTGTCATGAAAACCAACATTCAATCAATAAATTTCAATTTTAAGTGTCTTTTAATTGTGATTTTTTTTCTTCTCATTGCGTTGCACTTAGAGAAAGACTTAGAAAATTGAAATTAGGAAGGAGTGTAAATAAATGGTCGCCGTAATGAGTTGCTATGGTCGTCTGGTTCTGTTTTATTTATCAAAATCAAGTGTGTGTTTTTTTAAAAATTCCTTATAGTGAAAAAGATTTTTTTCCCTTTGCAACTAATTGTTTAAAAGAAATTTTTTTCATCAATAGCCTACACCAGTGTTTCTCAAACATTTTGGTCTTTTAACTCCATTGCTAACAAATAAAAAATACTTCGTGTATTAAACTATTCTTCGCATGTATTCAGCACAATGAGAGGCATGTATATTTTTAAAAAAAAAATTTCAATGCAAATGTTATGATTTATATCTGGCAACACGCAATTGCTTTATCTCATTTATTAACTTTTTTTCATTTAGGCAAGTCTATCCCGAGCTAATTAAATAATGATCTCGAGAAGATAAATTTTTCGACAATTGATAAATAATCAATATTTGATTGAATAGGGCATTTTCAGCACATCAAATTTCAACTCTGTAGTTGCATTTCAGCAGAAAGTAAATCGATTTATATAGTTTTGTTATTTTTCTTTATTTCAAGTTTAACAGATAATTATTGAACAAATATTGAATCATAAATTTTTTTTTTATTCTATTGAATTCCCTAACATTTTTCTACATCAAAATTTCAAGTTTCACAAACTTTTCCACAAACCAATACATTTGGAATAGCTTTAAAAAAAAAATAGAAACTTGAGTTTAATTTAAAAAGCAAACATGGCCCTTGCAGCATAACAAATTTTCAACTCAGTAGTTGCGTGGTCTGTAAGGAGGATGCATGTTTTTTTTTTTTCTCTAGAAGTTTAACAATTCTCAAACTAATTATGATTTTTTTTTTATTCCATTGTANTGTCTCTACTAGCAGTGCTAGGGCCCAAGGATATGAAGACAAAATTGCAGGACAAGACCACTTTAATTGTCCACTAATCTTCAGATTTCCTGCTATGTTTTAAAAAACTTTATTTGTGAAAACCTTTAGAGTGGCGGACAGCTGGCCGCCTTAGGCGGCTAGTATTTAATAAAACAACGTTTGTACTTAATAAACAATTTTATTAACAATATCATATTACAATAGTATGAAAATGTACAAAGCACTATGCAGAATCATGTTTAAATCAAATACGGAACTATACAGTTTTCAAATCTTAACATATAAATAAATTTTATATAAAGATCATTAAAACAATGGAATGATGTGAGTGATATTTAAATGTACCCATGACTTGTGTGCGTAAGTTGAATAGCAAGTGTATAAAATAGAACAATTCAACATGTCATTAAAACTTTTGCAAACAAAATATTTTTTTATATAAAATCTGACTTACAGTTAGATTAAAACTAATCATACATTCCTTAACAATTTTAAAAAAATTAATATAAAATGGAAAAAATATTTTTAAAATTTGGAATGTCAATATTTACATTTTTAATGCTTTGTAAGCAAACAAAACTCGAAAAAACTGTAAACCATTTAAATACAATGGTAAAGACTGATTTGAAGAAAAAATTTTTATTATTAATTTTTTATGTCTTGGGACGGATATTTTAAGCCACTTTTAATTAATATATTGAATTTAAAATTATCCTCTCAAGTTTTATTCAGAATGCGAACAATTTATATACAGATAACATTTTAGTACTCTATCATCTTTAATTGTTTTTGCATCTAAAACACTTTTAAGTAAAATTTGAATCTAAAATAATAACAAACATTAAAAAACATGTTTTACTTAATAACAAATTGGTTAAAAAAAATTATTAACAAAACAAGATTTTACAGATGAACAAGTGATCTGTACATTAATAATGAAAAAAAAAATAATAAACATTAGATAGAATGCAAATACTAAAAGATAAAGACAAAGTGATGATGACAAAAAAAAATGACGCAATTGTTTCAGTGAAAACAACTTCCTTAAAAATGCAACTAAGAATTTAATTTAATAACTACACAAAAAAATAATACTGCTTTAAGGCAGTATTATTGCTGAAATTATTATTGTACAATAATAAAATTAAAAATGTGCAAAGATACAATGCATTAAATCGTAAAAGCTTTTTTATTTGAATTTTTTTAATGCTACTGTTACCATAAATTTGTCATTTCTAATAATAATTCATAAAGTTTGCGTGACTAGTTATTTCTATACTACTGTTTAAAATATAATTTTATTGAAAATAAATTATTTCTGATAATTGGTCACTTTTGTATGTTTTAAATAATTTATTGTTAGAAGAATTCTTTGTTAAAATTAGAAAATATCAAATTACAAAATCTTTGGTATTTAGATATATTTGACTGCATAATGATAAAAATATTTTTAAAAAAATTGAATTAGTATTTGAAAATTTATAAAATGTAACTGTTTAAGAACTAAAATTCTTATAGAGTATGTGAATTTTTTGAAAACTCAAAATTAAGAAATTTCTTCCTATCATTCATTAGGCAGTTAAGTGAAAAGTTAAACACTGCTTTTATAGTAGTGACTTTCACTGCAGACTTTCTATGTAAGATGAAAACACAATTAAAATTTTAAACTGAAAATAATATTTCTGTAACAAATGAACACATCAAAAATAAATAAAAACAAATAATAATAATTAAACTCAAGAAAAAATGAATAAACTTAAAATCAAAATAATTATTAACAAAGTAAAACATTTAACATAATCAATAAAATGTGATGTAATTAGAATTCAAAAGACAGATTATATTTAAAAACAAAAACAGTAAATTAAATCAATAAGGAAATAAAAGAGGGAAATTCAAATGAAACCTTATCTTACAAGAGTCATTTTTAGTTTGTCCTGCTCTGACTAAATAGTTTTCCTCAAACAAGGAAAATAAATAGTCGCATAATCAGAGAAAAATATGACAAATTTATCAAATTTTAAAAGTAGCCTACCTAGTTCGGAAAGAATTATATAAATTCATCATTATTGTTCAAAAATACTTATCAAACACATAGACTCATATAAAAATGTTATTTTATCACAGTAACTACCAGAAGGTAAAAAAATAACAATTTGCCCAATAATAATTATCTTAAATAAAATTTTTAAAAAATAAAATAATTAAGACAGTTTTTAAGTCCTCATATATTTCATTCAAAAACGTCATATTTTCAAAATTACGAAAATAAATCGGGAGCAAATTAAATTCTTGATATTTTAATTTAATTAAGGCTACAGTGGACCTTTATATTGCCAAAAATTGATAAAAATTTCGGTTTTTTTTTTTGGACATATTTAGACACTTGTTTCATTGCTTTTTCAACTGAATTTTTTTTTTTTTTTAAATTTCTTCATTTTTTGAGAAGTTATAGGGTAGTTTCGTTTTCACATTATGAAGCCACGCCCCTTTTCTTACACAAAAAGCTGTTTTTCTCAAAATTGAAATTTTGTTATGTTTCACGTATTCAAAATGTTCCAGTCGACTTTGTTTTCATCCTATTGAGATGAAATTTTTTTCTAGTTATTTATATGTATATTAGATTAAGTTTATGCATTTGTTTCTGTTTTATAACAAGTAATAAAAGAGTTATCGGGTTTCATGTACCTAACGACCTTTATTTTGAAACAAAAATCTACATAAAATTTGTTTTTTGGTCATAAATTTAAAATAAATTTAGGAAAATTCCTATATAATGCATAAAGCTTTTAACATTTATCTCTAAAAAAAGAATATTAAAAAAAAATAAATAAAAATTTTAATTTAAGCCGCTGGGAGCATTTTAAAATTGATGAAATTTTTTTTAAAAAATTTTAAATTTCTCAAAAATGGTCCAAATATTTTTTACAAAAATTTTTGCAAGGGCATATCTTCATAGAATACATAAGTTATAAAAAAAGTTTTAGTGTAGCATAAAAACTAAAAAAAATTTTTTTGAACGTCCACTGTAGCCTTAATAATTGTTAAATTTAGAATGATGTGTAAGAGCATGAAAATATTAATAATTCAAATATATTTTAAGCCTTTAATATAAATACAATTTTTAACAAAAAATCATATAATTCAAAGAGAAAAGGCATTTTTTGGCTAAAATAAATCCCAAAGTAAAACATAAGAGCAAGTTAACATTTAAAGAACATAGTGCTGTTTCAATGCTGTAAATAAATATAATTTGCAGTTATAATTTTTCCGAGATCTGAGTTAAATTTTCATTCTGTATCTTGGCATTGATGATGCTTATTTATAACACTAAAAGAATTCATATAAGTTTTTTTTCTTCATTATTTCATTTCGTGCTCATCACAGTTTTCTGTTTTATTTATTCTGCACACAGAGATAATCACCTTTCAAAAAGTTATTTTGAATGTCACTATTTAAGGCACATTATTGAATGGATAATACTATTTTACGTGAATTAAAAATTTAAGAATAATAAAAGAAGGTCACTATTAATTTTTATGATATGTATAAAATTTTTTTATACAGTTACAGAAATATTTTATGAATGAAAAAATATCACATAGATTGCAAGTAAGCATTTCAATAATATACATTCAATTGAAATATATAGTTTATAAAAGTTGTGTTCAATAGTGACAATTTAAATGCATCCTTCAAAAATAGGAAAATTAGCAATAAAAAGTATGCCAAGAAATAAAAGTGAATACTCTAATTTACATAAAATGAATTGGTTTTAAGAAAAAAATACATAGCTAAGGAGATTTGGTAAAAAAAAGCTAATATTGTAAAGCTACTTTTAAATGCAGCTGCATAGCATGGGAAAATTTTTTGAAAAAGTAGATAATTTTTAAAATGGTAAACATCATTTTATTACAAGTTAATAAATTTATTTAAATGAAATAGTAAATATGAAGAAATTTATAAAATAAATAATAATTTTTGCAAATAAATTTATAATTCAATCAAATTATACTTTAGTTTCAAATAAAATCAAGCAGTAGTAAAAAATAAATTGTCTCTAAACTAGCTGATGACAGTAATAAAATTGTTTACTTATTTTTTTAAGTAAATTAAAAAGACCCAGATAAACATGTCTATCAAAGCAAGATAATGAAGTATTGTAAAACTCAAAAATAACATTCAATTATTCTAGAAACATTTTTTTTTTCAAAAAAATTAATTGCTTTACAAGCAATAGCAAAAAAACAGATAAAAATTAAAAACACATACTTAAATAATTGTATTTTGAAACATTTAATAATGTACTTATCTAACATCACAAATTAGTCATATATCTAAAAGAGGCAGAAAGCATATATTCTTTGGTTTTTTTCTTAATACTGAAACTTAATTATTTATCTAACTTGTACAAAACAAATAAAACCTCTTTTGTTAACATTATTAAATTCAACTAAATATTTACATCAAATAAAATTTCAAAATTTGAATACTTGTCTGTAAGATAAAGATTACAGAGCGAAGACAGGGTTTTCAAACTCAGCAATGTAATATATAAATAAATCATATACAGCTGCAGAAATTAAAAATTTTGTAGATGAGTGATACAAACACACAGTGGATTTGAAAATAATATTAAAATAAAAGCATATATTCTGGATAACCTTAATTACTGAACTGGAACCTCACATTAAGTATACATTTTTTACAAAAATTAATTAAAATTTATCATAGCAGGGAATAAATATCATCCCATCTCCAATTTTTAACAAAACCATTAAAATTACAAGAACAGCTGCTACTAATTAAAAGTAATTGCCAGAGAAACTTTTGTTAGAAAAAATAATAAGGAATCTGTAAGAAAATCACGTAATACAGATATGGTCCCTAACTCCAAGCGTTTGACTTTAAAATTGTATTATTTTTTAAAACTATTTTAAATGGTTGTACATTAAATTGTAAGAAAAACCAATACAGATGATCTCAACAGGACTCTATTATAATGTAGCCTCCTCTGGTGTGTTAGAATTTTACCGATAGCCAATACATTGATTTTCAGTTGATAGGGAAATGTCGCATCCTGGATAAAGGAATATCCCAAATGATCAGATTGGTTAAGAATTTTAATTAAAGATTATAAAAAATTATAGAAAATATAAAATTATTATATAATGGNAGGCAGAAAGCATATATTCTTTGGTTTTTTTCTTAATACTGAAACTTAATTATTTATCTAACTTGTACAAAACAAATAAAACCTCTTTTGTTAACATTATTAAATTCAACTAAATATTTACATCAAATAAAATTTCAAAATTTGAATACTTGTCTGTAAGATAAAGATTACAGAGCGAAGACAGGGTTTTCAAACTCAGCAATGTAATATATAAATAAATCATATACAGCTGCAGAAATTAAAAATTTTGTAGATGAGTGATACAAACACACAGTGGATTTGAAAATAATATTAAAATAAAAGCATATATTCTGGATAACCTTAATTACTGAACTGGAACCTCACATTAAGTATACATTTTTTACAAAAATTAATTAAAATTTATCATAGCAGGGAATAAATATCATCCCATCTCCAATTTTTAACAAAACCATTAAAATTACAAGAACAGCTGCTACTAATTAAAAGTAATTGCCAGAGAAACTTTTGTTAGAAAAAATAATAGAGAATCTGTAAGAAAATCACGTGATACAGATATGGTCCCTAACTCCAAGCGTTTGACTTTAAAATTGTAATATTTTTTAAAACTATTTTAAATGGTTGTACATTAAATTGTAAGAAAAACCAATACCGATGATCTCAACAGGACTATTAAAATGGAGCCTCCTCTGGTGTTTTTGAATTTTACCGATAGCTAATACATTAGATTCTCAGTTGATAGGGAAATGTCGCATCCTGGATAAAGGAATATCCCAAATGATCAAATTGGTTAAGAATTTTAATTAAAGATTATAAAAAATTATAGAAAATATAAAATCATTATATAATGGAACATTAATGGTTTAACCAATAGAAAAGAAAGATGATGGACATGGATTTTTAAGTTGTGCTTTGATTCACAATAAATGGTACATTTGGACTTAAAGGTCAGTTAAACAAACCTGATACAACAAACCGAACTCAAAAATTCCGAAAATTTCTTGAGTAAAATCATTAATGATGCATTTCAAAAAAATAACATCCTCATAATTTTAAATCATTGATATTTTCAGAACATGAAATTCTAAATAAATTATATACAGCATAATTTAAATTAATAATTATGTATAAGTTTACTTTTATCTCCAATCAATTTATTATTGTAGCAGAAAAAATATTTACAAATGAAAGAGATGCCAAGCATATATTCTAGTTCAAATATTTTTAAATAAAATATACAAGAATTTTTATACATAAATGTTATCAGTGATTTCTTGAAACTTTTGGACCATGGATTTCCGGATCGCAGTTAGCGAAAAATCGGAATTCCAGATTTTTCCAGAGCACAATCATCTCTGCAAATAGCGAGGGTACAGAAGAATGAAGTCTTTCTACACATTTTTTCAAATTTTGTGTGTGTGTCTCAAAGAGTTTGTAACTGAGATAATCTGATTCCAATTAATAAAGAGGCTACTAAACTTCCATTTTTCGGAAAAATAGAAGAACATCAGAGGAGATTCGAATTTCTCTGATGGAATCAAGGTGAGATCCAGTTCGAATTACTTTTCTGAAGTGGCCTTATCTATATACCATTACCATTTGTGGTAAATAATACAAACAAATCATTGTATAATCACTCCCATTTAAATTAGTTAAAAAAATAATACAATTAGTATAATAGAGTAGTGACTATGTCACATCAACAATATGATTAATCAATCCTACTGAGTAGTTAGTTTGATATGCATTAAAATGCAACAATGGAATAGTTACAAACATGAAATGTATATAGTACATGAAATTATTATGGTTGATCAGATGATAGGTCAAGGCGCTTTTTGGATTTTGGAGTGGAAGTAAAATGTGGCCTAGATGTGCCTTTTCTCAATTTGGACGGAGTGGACACAAATAGACCAGATGTGCTAACTTCGGTTTCCGTAGTCCTATTTAACCTTTCAGCTTCCGGAAGAAGTTTTTGAGCGTCATCAGTGACGTTTTGCAAAGATTTACCCAAAACTGAATGCAAAGATTGAATGTCAGAGCAAGTTTCACGTGATCGTTGATGATATTGTCGCCACCTCTCCTGTTCTCTCTCCAGATGATTTTGTAACACCTTTATCTGTAAAAACAGTAAAGTTTAAGTTGAAGATGATAATACAATAATTGTTGTTTGAATATCATATAGCCAATGCATGTATACATAAAAATCCTGAATACTGTTCAGCCTTTATTAGCTACTAGAAAAAATGCTGAACCAAATACAAAAAAATTCAATAGCCAAACATGTTAGTTCATACCATATTTTTAAAGTAAACTAACTTTAATTTTAATTAAATTTAAATGATTTAGAAATTTTAATTCAAAAATCTTGTTTTCTATGCTTTGGAATATATATATGAGATATTTCGTGTGATTTGATCAAACAGTTGTCTAGCAATGAATATTGTAGTACCTGGCACAGTTTTTTGTTCAGTCTTAAAGACACTAGAACATTATAAGAAATGTATTACCACACATTTTATAACCATCGTTGAGCAGATGACCTTTACAACTACATTACCACACAGTGGAAATAATGCAATAAGTGCTCTGTAGACGTCTATAGTACTACAGCCAAAAAGTACCACACATTTCAGAGCTTAGAATATCAGGTGAGTTTGAACCTAATATGATCACCAGAATAGAAATTGTAACTATTTTTAAAATAATGCATCCCAACGATTACATTCTTAAAAAAATATTATTTCATGTATTCAATGCATAAGAGTAGTTTCAATATAAATAGTAATAATAATAATAAAAAATAAATAAAAAAAAAGCTGTGCCCATAAAAACAATTTTCGAGCTAAGTTGCCACATGAATTCTAGACAACTAAAGAAATCAAATCAAAGACTAATAAAGCTGCCTGGTTATAGAGTATGTTCATAAGACTTGGAATATCACCATGGAACTAGGGATTTTCAGAATGTAGTTTAATAAAAAGCAAAATAATATTTAAACTTTTATTTTTAGTTGCATGATGTAGCTTATCCTTTTTTTCATAAATCTGGAATTTTTAAGTTTAATTTAGTATTTATTAGTAGTTTCAGAAGAGCATTAAATTGGGGCAGATTGACCATGCACGATTGTTGTATTTACAAGCTGAGTAAGCAGACTTAACTGAGTAACTTAAAATTTTTTTACGAAGCTCTAATATTTTTTCGAAATAAGCCTTGAGGTCATTTAAACTTACTCCAACCTTTAGTTTTTTAAGTTCCTTTTCAAAAATTTAAAACTGGCTGTTATGGATGTAACGTATCATAAGTTAAACATATCATAAGTTAAACATATCATAAGTTAGGATGTAACATATCATTAAGCCAATAACCCTTAGTTTTTAATTTTCAATCATTTTTTAAACTTATAAAAGTTAACGAAAATTGGAGTAAGTATAAATGACACCAAGACTCATTTTCACAAAAGTTATTAGAACTGTTCTATTTTATTCTAACTTTGCTTTAAAGTCTACAAATACAACATTCGTAAATGATGGAATTACTCATTAATAAGTTGCATGAAAACACCTTTTACACTTAATGAAACTGTTTAGTTATTTCAGCATTTAAGATTTTTGATAGAATAACAGATTACATTTTTATTAATTTTTTTAATTAAAATTCTAGAACATGTGCATTTTGCATGACACAGACTGAAACTTACTTGTTCTTCTAAACCAAGTACTTTTTGTCTATTTTGTCTGTCTCTTGATTCTATCATTTGCTCAGCATGTTTCAAAGCATTTTTGTAACGGGTGTCTTCTAATTTTGATTCAAAACTTTTATTATTCACATAATCTTTTACACTCTGAGAATATCTCTGCTCAGCTTCAGTTAGTTGCGCCTAAAAAAAATAAGAAATGCTTTATGACCATTTTGAAAAAAATTATTCAATTAGCACTTAAGGTCCATTAAAGTAAAGAATTCTTTAAGTGTATTACAGATTTCAAAATTATCAGTGAAAAATTCCAGATGAAATCAGATTTTAGATAATGTTTATAATAATTAAATAAAATTTACATAATTTAATTGATTTTAACCATTTTCAATAATGAAATCATGTCTGAATTAAACTCAAGATATAAATACATGTTGTAAAAAGAGATAAATATAGAACATTGATATAATCTTAAATAGTAATGGTTTAAATAGCACATGAACATTTGCACCCAATAATCACAGTTTTTGCAAAAAACTAATGAACTCCAGTTTGAACCAGTTATTTAATTTTTTAAAATAGTGAAATTTGTTATTTTTTTAAGACTATAAATAAATTACTTTCACAAAGAATCCTTACCTGAAGATTTTGTACTTTTTCAAGAAGGGATTGATTTTCCACACCCAATCGCTGAACATCTCTATCCAAAGTGCTTTTCTCTATTAAAGTTTTTGCTCTAAGTTCACTAATCTTTTGCTTGTCTTTTTCAAGCTGAAATTTCAGATTTTCTACAGTTAATAGTAAAATATATTAACAACATAAATTTAATACAAATATTAAACAATTATTTGATAGAATATTTAATTAAAAAAATACATCTGATTTCCTCAGTGGCACTACAGCCCAGTATGGACCTTTACCATTTTCAGAACTTGATACCGTTTTCAGAATTTTATATCAGACAACTCTATCTTTGTTTGTTTTGTTGTTGTTTTTCAATTCAATTATTTTCAATGCTTTTTATTACCATGGAGACAGTGTAACTGCCATATTTTACTTAGTCAACAACAATCATAATTTCATGTAGGAATGAACATTCTGGGCATTGGAGACTACCTGGAAAAAATTGGTGGAATTTTTAGCCAAGAATCAGTTTCTAGGTGGAGCACTGTGCTGAAAAAGAAATTGACCTTTAAATGTGATGTCATTTCTTGCTGGAACTTTATTCTAGGAAGCTCATGATAGAGCTTCAGTAATGGATTTTCTTCATGAATTAAGAGTGTGTTACTCTTATACTGTGTTCAAAAAATCGGATTAACTTCTTAAGCGGTTTCACAAATGATCAAAATGGTCAAGGCGCTGACCAGTTGGTGAAGGTTGAATAAAGATCCCAGGTTGGGGACTTGAAGACAACTGAGACTTCAAATTGGTGGATATCAGCTAATCTGGAGGTGTAATGCTATGTGGTGTGTAATGTTGACCATAATGCCACAATCATGTCATTGGTCTCAAAATTGTGGAGCATTGATAATGACCCAAATGATCTCCTTAGCCATCAATTGACAGTTACGGGAGTGCTATTTCTCATTACATAGAAGCTTAAGTTCTGCAATATGGAGAAAACAAAGTAAAAGAATGAAAGTTTCTTTAGGCGGGGCAGTCAGAGGGTTCAGTAAAACATACTTTAGACATCCTTAAATAAAAAACTACAAATGAAATTTATTATAACAAAATAATTAAACTGACCTTATCAAGAGCTTTTTTGAAACTTGATTTCTCTTTTTCTAATTTCAAGCACAACTCCTCCTTTTCTTGCAATAGCTGTTGATTGCTTCTTAAGGACTCATTCAGAGTTTTCAATTTTGAATCAATTTTAAGTTTTTCTTCTTGTAATCGAGTAGTTTCTTCTGAAGCATCTTTTTCAATTTGTTGAGTTCTTTGAAGCACCTAGTAAAAAAGGGAAAAAGATTTAAATAAATAAAAGTAACTTTCCATCAATATTACATAAATACCTTAAGTTTTGCACAGTTACATACATTTTTCAAGCTTCTCATCTGGTCAAGCAAATCTTGTTCAATGATCTCACTGTGCTTCAGTTTACTTTTGAGAGCTTCCACTTCATCTTTTAGGCATTTGCTTTTATTTTTATAATCATCCATGTATGTTCTGTAATATAAGAAATATTAGCATAATTCAATTTTAAATAGAAAAAAAAATTGAAAACTGTTCCTTAAGTTATAATTAAAATGGAAAAATTTCTTATTTATGAAATTATTTGCATAGTGAGAAATTATCCGATATTGCCAATATCAAAAAAATTAGGATTGAAATTTTTATATAAGTGGTTTATTTATTATTAAATAACAATTCAACGTTAAAATTTAATTTGTTTTCATGCCACTTTTCATCATTAATCCTTAGGATTTTAATGGATATTTCTTATTGGTGCAATGTTCTCTTTAAAAGGGTAGTCTAGTCAAAATCCAAATTTCGACAAATTTTTGTAAACTTATAGTTTCTTACAGGTATAAGAGTAGAAAAGGAGTAAAAAATAGGAAAATATTTATCAACTCAAATCGTGAAAAAAAAACATTTAAATTATCTACTAATTTAATAAGTTTTTTTTTTGTATAGGTGTACAGTAATCAAAAGGGGGGGGGAAAAGAAAAAAGGACCAACCTGAATTACTTAATGTTAATTTTACTTTTTGCATACTTTGTTATGTCTCAAGAACTTTTTGAGTGAATTGAAAAATTTTTGCTCCCAATTATAAAATTCTTTTATCTAAAGATAATTTCATGTAAAAAATAACTTTTAGTAAATATTTATTATTTTTTATTAAAGGATGGTCAAAGACATTTTGAATTGTAAGGTATAAGGTTTTGCATCAGATGGTAAGGTTTCGTATCATTTTAAAGAATATAATTTCACACGACAAAATACAAAATTTGAGCAAAATCAGTTGAATAGTTCCTGAGAAATTGAGTTTAAAAAAAGTCAGATATTTAAAATTAGATATCTTCGAAACTATTTAGCCGATTTCGCTCAAATTTTGTATTTTGCCAAGTAAAAATATATTCTTTAAAATTATTCTTGAGTAAAAAATTCTATATCTTACAATTCAAAAATTTTTTGACTAGTATTAAATAAAATAATAAAAAAATATAAATATTACTGAAATTTATTTTTTTGCATAGAATTATCTTTGAAGAAATTAATTTTATAACTGAGTGCAAAAATGTTTCAATTCGGTTTGAAGTTCTCGAGATATGGCAAAATATGCAGAAAGTAAAATTTACATTAAGGGGTTCAGACTTTGGATCTCTCTCCTGACCATGCTAAGGAAACCATATTTCTCAGTTGGGGCTACCCCTATATTTTGAAGGTGAAAAATCCAAATCTGTTGATAAAGAGGTATGTTTATCCAGAGAAAGTACATTGTGTCTGATTTCGTTACTTAAATTATCACCTGCACTTACTAATTAGCATATTTGAGGTCACCCCCTCGAGCCACTAAGATTGAGCTCTAGAACGCGAAGATCCAATCATTAGATCAAAAGTCATTCAGGGTGGTCCCTTTTTTTGCACACTGTACATTAATAGTCCAACAAACTTTTAAGTTTTATAAATCATGATTATAAAGAATAAAATAATAATAGAGTTTAAAAATTTAATGCAGGCTAAAGCTTTGAAGTCTGAAATTCCGACAAAAGTCAGAAGAATCTAATGTTCGATTCAATGAAAAGTAAATTTATTTTGTTAAAATTACGTATTTTATATCTGTGATATTACTTCATCTATTTGCGCACATGTTAATTAGAGATTATTTTTGCCGTTTACATGTTTCATGATTAAATAATTGGGGAATGTGGTATTTAATTACCTCAATTGCTCATTAGATTTCTGTAGAACAAACAAATTAGAGAGATGGTTTTGTCTTTCTTTTTGCAGTCTCTCTAAATCTTCAGCTAAGTTTAGTGCTGTTTCAGAGTTTTGTGATGTTTCTGCAGCAATCTAAAGCAGCGTAACAAAAAATTTAAAACATAAATGTATATATTTAAAACAATTATAGAACAAACTACCTAAATTTTAGAATTAAATAAAAAATTAAAAATTTCAGATTCAATGCAATGTGATATTTAATTCAATAAATTCGGTAAAAATACAACTTTTTAAAAATATAAGATCATTTGTTCTGGTGGAAAATCAGGATTGATACTCAATTTCTGGAGAAAAAAGATTCCCTCAGCTTACAAAGTAAAACAGTTTTGAAAATCGACAGGAAAAAAACAACTATGAATTTATAAGCAGCAAAGCTGGGATTATTTACAGAAGAAATCTATTTTTTCCAAGACATTACAAAAAAGAAGTTAGACGATGTAAAGTCATAATTATTTTATCTCTAGTGCATCCAAGCCTTTACACAAAGCTATACTTGGATACTCAATCAAACAATTTCAGAAAAACAGCAACAAAAAATACATTTTTGATTTTTGTAAAAAGTTTGATTCTAAGTTCCACTCAAAGTTTTTAAAACACAATTCATCAGTGTGATACAATTATAGTTGATTAACTTGCACAGTCATTGAAGGAAATGTGTCTCATTGGTAGTAAAATTTTTGTTTCAATGTATAAATTTTGGTATATAAATTAGAAAATTATTTTCCTTTCTTTTCACGTTTTTTTATTACAGCATTCACACATTTAGATGTCGGTAACGTAGCTTAATTTTTAAAAAACTTTTCCCATTTTTAATTTTTTTTCACTACCCCTTAGTAAAATCTTTCCCTCATTATCTCCAATTCTGCTTAAATCTTTCGGAAGAACTTCCTGGTGTCCACTTCTACTTTAATTTCATAGACCCTGTAAATAAGAAAAGACTTCATCCCAGATCATCTCAAGCAAATGGCACTGGAAGTCATTAATAACATTCTTAAAACAAATATTAAGACCAACACTGATGACAGTAAAATTGGAGACTCAGCAGTGAGGGGAATTTACATAGAAACACCTTAACGCAAAATTTCTCTTTTTTAACGTATCCCCATCTTTTGCTCTGTCTTCAGAAGTAAGCTTCTTGCAATTGGGGTTGGACTTGAGACGATCACTGAAGAGAACAACTTTAAAGGCACATAGATCTTGGTGGCGACAAACCTATTTCCATCTCTAATAAACTAAAAACCATTTTGAAACATCACGAAATACACCTACACTAGATACCATCACAAGTGGATATTTATGGCAATGAAATAGCAGACAAACTTGCCAAAGAAGGTTTCCTTCAACAGACTTCTAAGACCACCAAACTAAAATTTATGGAACTAAATTCTATCAAAAAATGTGCAGTTAAAAAAGAATGGCAACTGCCCCCCTCCCTGGAACAAATGGCGACTGAACCAGGATTCCCTCTTTTCTTTTTAGGAGACAGATCTACTCAAACTTGCTTATCACGCCTGTCTTGTGGTCACCTGAAATGTCTGATTGAGTGAAAACCTTTCCCCATTGTTCTTCATCTCCCAAACATATCTTGGACTCAGCAGAGACGAAATCTACTCATCTTCTCTGTTTGTCATCGACATGCTGAAAGTTAACGGTTTATACGAGAAGAAAACCTTTCCAAACAAACATACACGTTGGCAGCTATGCAAATCACATGTTTTTTTTACTTATAATTATTTCACAATAAGAGCTTCAATTCTAGATGCAAAAAGGGATTTTAAAAGAACGAATAATATCACATACCTTGTTTTTTAAAACTCTTTCATTTTGAGTCTGAATTTCAATAGTATCATTAAGTTGTTCAACAGTGGTCATCAAGGATTTAATTTTAGTTTCTAATGACTCAATTTTCCTGCTAGATGAATCAGCAATGTGTTCCAAAGACTGTAATAAATAAGTTGAAGAGCATTGAAGTTAAAATACATTAAAAATAAGTCATACATATTAACTATAATAATTCACAAGTATTAATATAACAGATCTTATAATCAGAATGTAATAGCATTTCCTTGTTACAAATAATAAAATTATCATTAAAAACTACAAACATTTTCAATAAGGTTGCAATTTCTGTTGTAAGAAAATTGCTGATTAAACACAGGATCAACTTAAGATTTACCTTAATAAAACTAATTGCAGGCATGAAACTGTAAGTAAATAGTAATAAAAATCAATACACTTACTTTTGCTTCCAATTCTTTGTTATTTAGTTTTTCTCTTAAAAGCATCATATTTGATTCAAGCGATGCATAAGCCTGGATGTAATTTGCTGCTTTGGATTCTGCGAGTTCTTTAGCAGCACTCAAAATTCTTTTGTCTTCCTCAAGTTTAAATTCATTTTGTTTTAATTCTGCAATCTGATTCTAAAATAAAATCAAATTTAAATGAAACATTGTAGTTCAGGAAGTGCAAACAGTAATATAGATTGTGATCAGATACATTATATCTATCTCCAGATGGAATTTTTTACTTTTTTTAACATCACTTTCAATTCAATTATTAAATTTTCAAAGCACAACTTGGGTCTTTCAAGCGATTAGGTGGTGATTCAGAAGGAAAATAGACATTCTTTATCAGCCAAGATGATAAAGGGCAACTTGATTGAAAGTTCCTGTAACCGATGCTTGAATTCAATAGCACTTGTGGACAAGATAAAAACAGACATTATAACATGACATTGTTATATCGTAAGTGTCCGAAAATACCATAAAAATTAATCCATAACTTAAATTAAAATTAATATGTTGGTTCAGAGCTGCCATTTTTGATATATAACCTGTCTAAACTAAGTACAAAAACTAAACTGTCTAAGTAAAGTACAAAAACAACATGTTTTAACTCAAATATAAACCAAACAAAGAAACAGACATTCCACAAAGAGTGAATACAATTTTCGAACAATAAAGTATGACTGATAAATTTATTGTAACCTTTGAAAATTCTTTTTATACATACATTATGAATGTCTATAAAATATGACCACCTAGGGTAATAATTTAGAGAGTAATAATTTTTTCACTCAAAGAGGATTCAAGGTGTTTAACATTCGATGTGAGGTAAAATGAAATAAAAAATTAATAATGGTTTATATAATTTCTTTAAAAATTTTTTAAATCAAGACTATATTCTGGTCATTATATTGGAATAAACAGTTCAGTACGGATATTTTAATGGACAGGAAAATAACATTGCATTTATGGAATAACAAACTAAACTTTATGCATCGTTTGTTTATGATAGAAGAGTCACTATAATAGGGGTCGTATTAAAAAACTTAGACTTTATTACATTTTGCGCAAATTTATCATAGCATTTAATCGTATATTAAACAGATTTAAAATTTTACAATATTTATAGAAAATAATGAATATGGTTTAGTTTTTCTTCATACTTACAAGAAGATTTTCTTGTTCTTTCTTTACAGATGTGGAATTGAATTCAGCACTTCCCATTTTTTCAGTAAGTCTTCTCTTTTCCCGATCCAATGTTCGAATAACTTCTTCATGGTGATGAATGCTAGCGATCTTTGTTGCTAATTCTTGTTCAACATTCTTTTTATCTTTTAAATAAAAGCAACAAAAAAGAATTTACAAATACACTCCTCACATTTTTTAAGACAAAGTTGTTATTAAAGGTTGTTTAAATAAACAAATAGCTACCTTAGAATAAAAAAAAGAGCCTTATTAACTTTACTCAAGGCCAACATGAATTCAGTAAGTGAATCAATTTAACGTAAAATTAATAATACTCCAAGGAAATTTTTATTCTAGGAGACTACAGATTTTACAATCCCAGAAACAATATATACAGAATTACAATCATACGTAATGACCCATTCATATCCAAATCATAATTTGAGTACAAGAGACCTCTGGTCACTCTCGAATAACCCATAAACATCTTTTATTAAACGAAACTGCACCCAAATGTTCTCATTGTACAGAACCGCTCACTATTAAACATATTTTAACTAAGTGTAACAAATTTAAAACACAGAGACAATGCCATTTTGGTTGCTTTAATCCAACATTGACTTTATTCATTGGAGATAAACCACACAATAACATTTTTAATTATCTAAGGGACATAGGTTTTTGCAAATCAATTTAGTTTTAACTTATAGCAGAATGTTTCTTATAAAACAAGTTGTAGGTGCGGTATGGGCAAAAATGGCTTTTGCACCAATAATATTTAATTAACTAACTAACTAACCAAGGGCCCTGCTCTTCGGTGCTACTCAACCTTTAAGTCATTTTAGTAGCAACATAATTCTGATAATGGCATTTTTCTAAATGACAAATTTTCAATCTATCTATAATATTACATTAATAATCAAAAAAAAATCTGCATTTGGAAGTAAAATAAATTACAGTGGAGCATCGTTTATACGACTCCGAAGGGAGCACCGAAAAACGTCGTATAAACGATAACGTCGTATAATCGATTTTTACTTCTAAAGCTGAAACTAACTCTGTCTTTAGTTTATTTTAATGTTTAACGTGTTGATTTACNTCTTCGGTGCTACTCAACCTTTAAGTCATTTTAGTAGCAACATAATTCTGATAATGGCATTTTTCTAAATGACAAATTTTCAATCTATCTATAATATTATATTAATAATAAAAAAAAAATCTGCATTTGGAAGTAAAATAAATTATTTGGAAATTGTTTTTTTAATTACATTATAAACATATAGATAACTTTCTTTTTCCTAAATGCTAATTAAAAGACCTTGAAATCAAAAAAGTATTTAAAAAATAATCTTTATTCTGATAATACTAACCTTCTAAATCTCTTTGCAATTGGTAGATTCTAGATGTACACCTGCTATGTTCACTTCTTAATTCTTCATACTGTCTTTGTATTTTTGTAACAGTATCTTTTAAATCATCCTACAGTAAACCAAAAAATAATTAGCAAAATTTAAAAAAAAAAAAATATTAAAAAAATAAATAAAAAAAAACTGAAGTTCATTCAATCCTGACACATTGGAATACAAAATATACAGTGGCTCCCAAAAGTGTTTATACACCTATATCTTTAAAGCTCTATTCATTAATTAAAATAAATATTTCAGAATAGTTCTTTAATAATAAGATCTTTAATATATTCTTAACAAACCTGCATGGAATATTTTAAAAACTAAGCAAAGGTTTATATCCATTCTGAAATACCATATTCATTTTAATTAATAAATAGCGCAATATTTTGTTGAAAGTCATAAGGATACTAACACTTTTAAGAGCCACTATACTTGCAAATATAAGCGCTGCAATTGTTAATAATTCAAAAATTTTATTAATATCATAATAAATGTGGTTTACATTTGAATATTTCTAATTGATTGTTAGATATTAAAAATATATGCACAAATATGTATTTATGGTATAATTTTTAGGCTCTCAAAGTAATACCGGTTGCGTACTAAATTCCAACAAAACTTTACGTTTAAAATAAAAATTTTAATAAAAAAAATTGAAAATTTTATTGATTAATAAACAAATATTTTTTAAAGAGTACATCACTTAATAGGGAAAATTTTTTTACAAATTTTAGATATTTTTTTAATAATTTCGCATGCAAAGGGTTGACGTGGATAAGAAAATTATGCATGCATTGAAAACTAACAATAAACAATACAGGTGCTTCTACAAAATGATTAAAAAAATTGGTATTTAACAGCTTACTCGTTCTTTTTCCATAGCATTGAAGTTTTGCATCAGATCTCTTAAAGAAGATTTTAATAATTCCAAATCCAGATCAGACACTGATATGTGAGCAGGTGAATTATACTTTAAGAATGTTAATAGGTGAGAACTCTCAACTTGATCAGTAGAGTCTCTGCCGAGTGTTTCAGACACATCCCTGCGAGCTGAGCTGGCATTTGCATCTGCATTTGAACTTGCACTGAGTAGACCACTATCAGATCCAAGGTTAAGTATTGATCGTAAAAAGAGGCAGATGGAATACAGTTTATTTTCAACATCCCTCTTTGCACCTAACAAATATGAGAGAAATATGTGAGAATACTGAATAAACTATGCAAATTAGAGGGATTGTGGATGGACATTAATCATTGACCACCAAGGTAAAATTAAGGTGTAAATTTTTTTTTTTAAATTCAAAATTTTAAGTTGGATAAAAAATAGTCACCTTAGTTACAAAATTATAATATTTTTTTTTGTCAAATTAAAAAGTATTTAGGTTTTTCCTTGAAAAAACTAAAACTATTTTTGGTTTATCTTATCAGTGCAAATAGCTAAAAAAAAATTTAAAAATTGCTTGTAGTCTAGGCACTACACGACAAACAAAAGTTTCTTTTTTAGTACTGATAGAAAAGCAATGAATAGTTTTGCTTTAATCTTCCTTAAAAGAAATAAGCAGGACTGAAGCCATTTCTGCATAAAGCAATTCAAGTATAAAAGAAATTTTTGTTTCCAAGTTCAGAAATGTAAAGTAAAGGTTTAAACAAAATATGTTTGCAAAATAACATTTAAGTGTCCCAGAAGTTACACAAAAACCTTATATTTAAACCTGGGGTTTACATAAATAATCTAATTTAATGAGGATTAAGTCAAAATCTCAAAATGTATGCACTCATTTAATAAAGTAGTACTTTATTTAAGTCACACTACAGATAAAACAATGGGCTATTGGCAAAAGTATTGGAAACATTTCTGAGGATGATCTGAAGAAATACTATCACAATTTTGATCCTCTGCAGAAGAGATTGCTCTCTTGCTTTGATAGCCCAACAACTTGCATGCAAAATGCAACACTTTACAGTGGAGCAGTTTAATGAGCACTACTGTACACCCTTGGACTTTTTAGGGGCTGATTAAAATGGTCACCCACCCGCCCACTGACTACTGTTAGTAATGCTTGACTTCACTAATCTAGTGGAAACTGTGTCTTACAATCAGTCTACTGTGTACAATCAGTAAATAAACTAACTTACAATCAACAGATAAAAATAAAAATTGATAGATTCTGTGAGACCTAGATGATACATTTTGATCGTAACATTACTTTCTAAACACTATAAACTGAACTTTAAACTAAAATTTATTTTATATGTAAGCTTTTAAAAAATATAAAATATATTGAATTGAAAATAAGTCCATTTCTGCAAAAACCTAACAAATTTCCAGTTCATTTTAAAAAAAAAATTGGTAACTGTTTGACTACTTTTTATTAAACTGAAGTTTTGAATTTCAATATTATTTTGATACATTCTAACAGATAAGTGATAAGTTGCATTTTGAAAATTTAATTCTGAGATTTAAGCTGTCAGTTGTTTACGTTGAACATTAATTTATTCTATACTATGTATAGTAAATTTATTTTCTTAAATTCAATAAAACATTAGTTAATAAGATCTCAACAAATGTCTCTAAATATCAAATTCAAAAATATAGACTGAAACTACAGTATTGAATAAATGCAGCCTATTTATGCTTGAAATTAAAATCCCCCCTTAGTGTTCTTTGTATACATTAGTTGAAGAGAAAGAAAAGCATAAACATTTAATTTAACCTAACGTTTATTATATGAATAGATGCTAGAAACTTTTTTTTTCTTGCATGGACTTTACATATTATTGGACATGGACTACATTAGGGTACTTTATGTACAAAGTTCTATTAAAAATGTAAGAAATTAAACGAGATATTATTTAATTACTTCTTGTTATTAATACTATTTGTACAACAAATTTGTTTAAATAATTTAAATTTCTTAATTTTTTGGTCACAAATATTGTTTGGAAAAATGCGACATAAAATCATTTCAACATTTATTATTTAAAATGCAAATTTTTTGAAATACAAGGACATTTTATAAAACTTTTACGTGAACTTCAATTTTATTGTATTTATATAAACATATATTTTCTTTAAATGATTTCAAGTTAAATTGGTTCTTAGCCTAATCTTTGTATAAATTTCAAAATATAGTAGAGTAATGGCTTTTTCTAATTATGTGTATTAAAAAAATATTTTGATTATTACATGTCACTTTTTAATATTTCTTTAAAACTTGATACACATTAGGTATAAACGTTTTGTGAGCCAACTTGATACATGCACAACTTGACTCACACAAAGTTTCTAACATCAAAAAAAAAAAAAATCCTTTTAAAGATATAATGCCATAATGTTCATGCTTAGTAAAAATAAATAACTTACCATCCAGTTTAACTATTTTTGATTCAAGTGCTAAAACTTTTCCTTCCTCAAACCTCAAACTAGAACGCAAATTCTGCAGATCCTTAGAAGACTCAGATATGGATTTTTCCAAATTAAGACGACGTACAGAAAATGAGTGCTCAGTTGACAGATAATCTTGTAATTCTGACTGGTGTTGTTCTTCCTGCATCTTCAGCTTGTGCTCAAAATCTGACAGTTTTTTCTTCGAGCTTGACAATTCCTTCAGCACAGCCTCATTAGTTGCACTAGACTGCATCAACTAGATAGAAAATTTAAAAAAAATATATTACTGTTTACCTAAGCTTACTAGATAGAAAATTAAAAAAAAAAAAACCTATTACTGTTTACCTAAGAATAAACTTCGCACTGAGATAGTCAGACTATCTAAGTGGAAAAAAGCATACCCTCCAGAGAGGATCAAAATTGTGATGGCATGTCTTTGGGTCATCCCTAGAGTTATTTCCCAGGCTAAACCCCACTATCCATTGAGCAGAGCTAGTGTTTATTGCTACTACTACCACAAAAAAATTTTTAACAGCTCTGAATTATGTTTTTGGACACATAGTGAAACCATTAAGAATGTAAAATAATAACCTTTTTAAAACCATAGGAAAAAATTTTTTTGGGCAAAAAGAAAAAGGTTTTGATAAATCAAATTTCAATATTATTAAGTTGCAAACTTTTATATTCCATTCAAAAATAAATTTTAAACTAAATGTTAAAAATTGCAATAAAGCTAACCTTTAATTGTTTGTTCAAATTCCTCACAACATCAAATCAGCTTAAGAATTTTAGATAAAACTAGTAAAACCACAAATGTTCACCAACCCACAAAATATAATACTTAAAGGTTTTTTTGGTTTGCTCACAATAATAAAGCACTTATCTCTTAATGCTGTAAAGGTTGACATACAATATTTAATATAAAATAAAATTTGTCAGTCCTAAAAGAGGCTACATGGTAGATAGGTTGCTGAAAAAAAGTAATTCTTGAAAAAAAAAACACATTTTTTTACTTTAGTTAATAAGGTAAAATGTTGTTTATTCGACATCCCCCCCCCCAAAAAAAAAACTTTAGGTCACACATTATCAAGTTGAAGGAGAGCAGACTAGAAACAATTTAGACAGTGAATCAGCATCAGTCCCAGAAAGAAATACCATGACTAGTATAGCATCTTCTTTTCAATACATAAGAACTCAAAACAGGATTTTTCTTAACTCCAGAAACTCTAGTTGCAATGCACGGTGACCAAAGAAGTCACAGGTAGGTGCATGAAGATACCAAGGTGGTTAAGGTTAAAAGAACAAGGGAACAGATACAAATTTAATTGCGCTAAATATCGGAGACACTATGTTCTCTTGCAATGGCATAAAATAATTAATTAAAAGGTACAATACAATGTATTACCATAAAAAAATGTAAAACTAAATAATTAAAAAATATATTTCCTCGCAGTAGAGTCAAAATATTAAAAGGCAACTTAAAATTAAATTGCTTTGAAACATAACTTAAATGAATTGAATTAAGAAAACAAAAACTGCTTTAAAATGAATATAGAAACTTCTTGCAGCTGCTTAAAAACATTCTAGGAACTATTTTAAGATCATGCTACAATAAAGATTAATAATTTTGTTAATAGGAGCCATCAAATTTTACCATAGCTATTAAAAAATGAGAGTAAACATAGTTATTAAAAATAGTTAACTTAGTTATTAAAAAATTAATAGCACAGATATTAAAAAATAAGAGTAAAACCAGACACTAAGCAGCACATTAAAAATATTGCTTATTAAAAGATAAAGTCAATTTAAATTATTAAATGACAGGACATCACAATTAAAATCCCAATATGGAGGTTAACAACGGATATCTAGCGTGAATTCCTCGGTTATGTTCCATAGGCATACATTCTTCTTTACTCCACAGTTGAAAAATTTTGCCAAACATTAGGCACAATATACGTAAAACAATCCCAATTCTGTAATTTTATAGTGAACAATAAAGATATAGTTAATAATATGTGGTACCTTCTGTTTTAATTCAACAATCTCCATTCTCAATTTTTCTTGAATTTCTCCTTCTTGACTATGAATCATGCTTAGTTTATTTAGTTCTTGTTCTTTTAAATCTAATGTTTTCTCCAAATTTGTTACAGTCCTTTTAATTGACGTGACTTCTCTCTTATATTCTTGCCTAGACTTTTCAATGTTCCTCATGGTCTCTTGTAGCTCAGCATTTTGAGTGCGAATTCTAGCAGTAGATGTTTCTGTATCTGAAATTAAGACAGAATATTTCAAATTGATAAATCCTAGTAATATCAATTGCATTCCATGATTTTTTTTAAAATAATTTTTTCTATACTAGAAAATTTGAATTTAGAACAGCTATACTATTGTGGCTATGGTAGCCTCTTTTATAATAAATAGTAAATTTATTGCTCAAGAATGGTTAAATAAAATAGGTCACATAGGCGTTACAATGCTGGAGAAAAAAAAATAAGTATTTACACTTTTAATAGTGTTGGTTTCAACAAGATTTTTTTTTCTTTTTTTGTCTAGCCATTCACATTTTTGAAAAGATTATATGCAATATTTGTTTTAATTTGCATATTTTAATAACACGCAATTAAAAAAGTATATTTCCAAAAAGCTCAAACCTCATAAAAATAGTTCATAATCTCATTATGTGTCTTTATACGCAAAGCATCTAGTATCTCTAGAGCTGGCTTACGAAAATTTAGATTTCTAAAATCAAAATAAGATTTTCATTTTTAATGTTAACAGTCACTTTATGTTTATATTGCGTTCATTTTTTTCAAGAGTTAATTTTTTAATTATGGTTGATCCTAACTACATTATAATTTCATTACAGTGCTGACATTAGTTGCATGAACCATAAAGATTTTTTGACATTAAATATTAAATATATGACTATGATTGAAATTATATGGACTTAATTTAAAAAATATTTTTTTTTACTGCATAGTTTCCATTCGCAAATTCATAATCTTTAATAGCAAAAAATATTTCATTCATTTCAGAATATTGTATAATGGATGTTTTAAATAATTCATAAGTTGTTAAAACTATAGAAATAAAAAAATTCTTTTGAATCAACATAAAAATGTAAAGAAATAATAATAATAATAAATATGGAAATTAAAAGAAAGAAAAATTTGAAACTGATTTTTAGAAATAGAATTTTTTTAAATTCTTGTTCTTACTTCATTATAAATTAGTATTTAATAGTAAAAATTTAATACTAATCTTACTTCATTATTTAATAGTATTCAATCCAGTGAACCAGGAAAGTAAAATGTGAAAAACAAAGTCTTAGAGGTACAAAAAAATGTTAGTAGTAGTTTTTGAGTGTTTTTAAGCTAAAGACATATTACCACTAAAAAGATTAGCAAAAAAATAGTTAATTAGATAAAACTTATTTAAAAAAAATTGTAAACAAAGCTAAATATAAAAACAAACCTTTAATTTTGACTTGCATTTCTTCTAATTGTTGTTTTAGCTCCAAATTCTCCTCTTGGGAAAGTTTCAGTCGTCGTTTACAATCGTCAAAAGATTTGTTCACTACTTCGTTTAAAGAAATCTCATCTTTTAGTTGATTCTGCAGAAGGTTAATTTTGCTTTCAAAGTGGACAGTGGTACTTTGCTCTATAAAAATAAAATCATAAATTTTAAAAACAATATTCAAGTTGTTTTTTCCTAATTAATAATATCAATTAAAGTAATTATTTTTAAAATTCAATAAATGGAGAATCAAGCCAATTTCAACAGTGGAATGCTGGAATGGAAACACAGAATGCTTTAAAATTCAAAATAGTTTAAAATTCAGATTATGAAATTAGGAAACAGATATTTATAAAAAAAAAATTCCCTTAAGAATTATTAGAATATCAAGTTCTTGTAATTTATTTTTTATTTGGTTTAAAGTTACTTTATATTTTGACGTTCTTTAATACAGGAGTTTTGAAACTTTTTTACACAATGCACTTCTATCACCATTTTTTTCAATTAAACACTGATTTTTTTATTATTTTACTTAAATTTATTCAGTTATTTTGAGCAGATTAAATGTAACATTAGAGATGATTGTTTATTATATTTTTTTCCTCAAATAGTTCCGAAGATAAGTATTATTATTTTTATTACTCTTTAACATAATAATTTTCATTATTAACATTAATGCTTTCTAATTTTTTTTACAAAAACTGAAGATTCAGTCCATTTTATAGCACAGTACACCAGGATCCTTAATTATATAGGTAAACAGAAGTTAACAAATACCTATGGCATAAGGTTATTTTACAACAAAAGTAAAATAATTTATAGCATTAAAATTTATTACAAAAAATTTATACATTGCTTGCTGCTACTAATTATAATGACATTCTTCTGAGAATACTTAACTATGCTTACAAAGAGAATGATGAAGTTTTTAAAAGTAAATTTTACAAATATACTGAAAGCTAAATTTATTAATTAATTTGTACTTTATTTTCTATTAATATTTGATGTACTTTGATTGATTAGAGCTTTTCATTTACAAAAGTCTTAAAATATTGGCAAATATTTATTCTACTTGGAGGGTTAAGGATTATTACGACTTTATCAACGACATTGAAAATTTGCCTTTGGCAGTTAACAAATTTAATTCAAAATAGATGCAAAAATGTACTCTCATTGTTTATTCATAGGTTAATCAAAAACGAACATATATAAAAAAGAACATATATTGATACTGAATGATTACAGATATTCCTTAGTTCATAAACAGTTAGTTTAGTTACAGTTAATTGATAAACAGTTATAAATAACATTGATAATGAATGATTATAGATATTCTTTAATTCATAAACAGTTACCATTTGATTCTTTTTCAGCACCCTTTTTCTTTCACTCTAATCTTACTACCTCCACTTAAGGGTGGTAGACTGGAATTTAATATCTAAAAGCTACTTGAAACTTGATTTAAAATCCTATGAATCATTTACTTTTTTTTCTTAAGAAAAAAATAATTATTTAGACAAGAAAGATCATGACTTAGCATGGTTTTTAACATGTTTTAATCTTGTAAGGAGTCTGTTCAAGTAGATTAGATTTTAAAATTAGATTAATTTTAAAATACATAGATTTTATTAGTGTTTTCTTAGATTAATTTAGAACAGGCATATTATGTGCATTTTCTGAAGTATATCTCTGTAAATACTTAAAGAAAACAGAGGCTGGTAATGAGAATGGAAAAAAAACACACAATTAACATTAAATTAAATAGGCTTCAGAAGTAAATGAAAAGCAATACCTTCTTTTTTAGAAGAGTTAGCTTCTTCCATTTCTTCTATGAGTTTATTTTTTTCAAGTTCAAGTTGTTTTAATTTAGTTTCAACAGTATTTACTTCATTTAGAGCAGTTTCTTTTTCACTGCTTAAATCTTTAATATGGTTTTCAAGTTCTTTAGCTCTCCTGGCATGATCATCTCTAAAAGAAACATTTAACTTATTTTAAAAATATTACTTAACTGACAAGCAAAAGAACAAAGATATTTATGTATATTTATGACTGTTATGTATCCCGTTCAGACGACAGACAAATCATTTACAGTAAAATTTATTTTATAAGAAATAATTTTGAAGAAAATACGTAAATAAATAAATAATGCAGTTGAAAAACTAGAAAAATGGGTACACATGAAATACAGCATATGAAATGGCACAAGGAAAATATTTTTTTATATGTATACATATTTTTAAAGAAAAATAGGAAGAAAAAAAACACAGTTAAAAAAGTAAACAAAATATTTACTTATAAAAAAAGGGAGGTTTGCTTGTTTCTTCAAAGTGAAAAAGTGTAGGTTATTAATCTTTAATAATTCAAGATTCAACTCTGAATATATTTTTATAGACTAGAAAAAAAAATGGGCAAAATATAATTATGTTGGGGAAGTAAAAGTAAAAAAGTTTTGAAACTTTTATTAATTTTTTTAAGGAGTGCTTCATAAATTTAATTTAATTTTCTTTCAGATACTATATCAAAATTCCAAACAGCTTTATCACAATATCATAATACGTTGACATACAGCTTTATAGCATTTTAGTTACTATATTGAAATCCAGACAGATTTTGATGTTAAAAAAAGCCTAATAATAAAAATGAATCATAGTGTAGAGACACTAAATTATTTCAGAAAACACAAGTGTTTTAAAGTTGAAAATTTTAAAACATTTATTTTGAACAAAAACTAATGAAAGAAACGAAGTTTTGAAACTACCACTCCAAAAAAAGTATCCAAGAAATAAAATAATAAAATGCAGAATAACATAAAACTCTTTAAAATTCAGCATTTTAAAGATGGTTAATAAGTAGTTGGTTTTAAAGGTGATGAAACTAAATATAACAAAGCATGCTTCCAATTTTATACATTTCAAAAAAATTGAATGTAAATAAAGCAATTTTAAAACTAAACATACAAAAAAGCTATTCAAATACTTAATAATTTGCAATCACTATCTTCGGCAAAAGTATTTTTCTCATAGATTGCCTATTCTTAATTTTCAGCAAAATTATTAACATCAAGTTCTTACGATTGAGTTTTAATTTCATCTTCTAACTGTTGAATTGCTTTCAGTTTCGATTGCAATAATGCATTCCGATCTTTGTCAGCATTTTCTAGTTTTTCTTCCAAGTCCTTCACTAATTTATTACAATGGCTATTCTGCTTTTTCAGATTTTCTATTGAGTGTTCAAGAGATGAAATTTCTAATCTATAATCACTATGAATCTATAAAAAACAATAAGCAGATTATTAATAAAAACAACAGATATTATTAAAAATACAATTATAATCATGAAAGATAAATAAAAATAAATTTTAAAATGTTGCACATCAAATTAAAAAATATTATTTCCCACAGTTTAAGATTCAAATAAAATAAAAAGAGAAATTTAGAAAGCAAATACTTGTACACAAATGAATTGATATTAACAATTTAAAATTTTGTACATCAAACTAAAAAATATTATTTCATACAATTTAAAATTCAAATAAATAAAAAGAGAAAACAAAATTTTTTACATATACACAGATCAATTATAGGACAGCAGCTTCAATATAATTCTATTCCAGCATTAAGAATCTTTTAATATTTATATTTCTTTAAAAAACTTTATAATTCAATTTTAATTGTTTAATAATAAGAACTATAGGTTTAAAAGACTGCAGTCCTACAATCTTTGAAAAATGAACAAGTTTGACCATAATTCATAAAGTCTCAACTTTAGAAAAAATGTGCTTAATTTCTTTTGTTTTTATAAACCAATGAAAAAGATAAAGGCAAGTGATGATTCAGTATTTAAACTTTGTAAACTGTTATTATTCATCAAGTATTTAAACTTTGCTTAAAATAAAATATTTTAATTGTTAATGGATCAATTTAAAAAGCAAAATTTTGAGGATATACTTCTCCATGTGTTCTAGTGCAGGGCTGTCCAACTGCAAAGAGCCCACGGGCCAGAATTCCGGTCACTGATCACCTGGCGGGCCGCAGTTTGAAAAAGTTGAACATTAACCTCTTACCTCTTATACAGTAACAATTAATAGTTGAATTATTAATTATAAAACAATGGAACAGAAGGATTATAAAACAATTTGCTTACATTTTAATGGGAAAACTGAGGCCGATCAGACTGAAAAAGAAATTTGCGGGCCACATGCGGCCCGCCAGTTGGACAGCCCTGTTCTAGTGTATTCATAGACACTAAATTTTAATTAAAGCACCAAAGACTGATGACACATTGCTTGTAAAAAACAAGTAATTCAAGCATATTGTTGCTTGATAAAGTAACTTATACATTATTACATTATAGACTTTGTTAAAACATTAAACAAGTGGTGTGTTTCTATTACCAATTCCATAGATATAAACAATAAATTAAGCAGCTGCTTATTAACACAATGAATACATATAATTAAAATATAATGAGGACTATACCTTTTTGTTTTCTGATTGAAAATTAATAATTTTCTCTTCATACTCTGTTTCAAGAGTTGTGACATGTTTCTTTAAAGTAGCAATTTCTCCTTGATGAAAACTGATTAATTCCTCTTGTTGTTTTTGATGACGGTCAAATAGTTCATCAACAGAAGATATCAGTCTACTACGCAAGGATTCCTACAATAGGAATACAATAAGACAATATTAAGTGCAAAATTAACATGGGCCGTTAAAAGATCAAAACAAAAATATTATAAAAAATGGGTTTTAAGATTTGAGTTAAAAGAATAAAATTATGAAATGTGTAAAGATAACACTAAAAAATAATAGATAAAAAAAATAAAAATATGATGTGATGAGGGAAGATGAGTATGATTTTTTTATGTTAAAAGTAAATGTAATAAAACTCAGATCTTTTTTCATCCATTAAACTTTTCTAAATTTATTTATTAATTTATCCCATTCTTAATTCCGAGGAATATGAATATTATTTCTTTTTTTGAAATGCTAAAGATAGGTAAGTTATTAAAGTGTATTGCAACTATATTATATAAATATTATGCATTTGGCAACCAGCTTGGTCACCTTTAAAAATTATCTTGTAAAATAGATAAACTTCAATGGTAACTAAGCTAACTGCACAGAACAGCTGTATTTAAATATTCTAATACTTCAACACCTCTTCCAATCCTAATTAGTTTACTACGGTAATTAGTTTTAAACAATTTACTATCAAAATTTTTTCCCTGTGTAGTTTTGCTTGCATGGATTTTATAATAATTTTAACCATTTTCAAGAGATGTCCGTGATATTGCCAAACTTCTCTATGCAATGAATGTTAGTAATAATTTAGATGATAATATAAATTTTTTCGGCAACTTATAAATGACAAAAACCAATTGAAAATATCTGTTTGGGACATTTCAGCATAGTAGGCAATAGTACATTTCAGCATAGTATTAAAATTATTAGAATTTCTTCCCTAAGATAAGATAGAAAACTCATCCCAAAGCTCCATTGTGTGCTATACTAATTCTTCACACATATATTCTCATGCTCTATACTTGGAATATCCCTAAAACAACTAAGTTTGCATTTAATTATGTGAAAATTGGATCTTTAGAACGAAAGTAAATGCAGAATGTTTCTTTTCTTTCATTGTATAGCCACTNTCTATGCATTGAATGTTAGTAATAATTTAGATGATAATATAAATTTTTTCCGCAACTTATAAATGACAAAAACCAATTGAAAATATCTGTTTGGGACATTTCAGCATAGTAGGCAATGGTACATTTCAGCATAGTATTAAAATTATTAGAATTTTTTCCCTAAGATAAGATAGAAAACTCATCACAATGCTCCATTGTGTGCTATACTAATTCTTCACACATATATTCTCATGCTCTATACTTGGTATATCCCTAAAACAACTAAGTTTGCATTTAATTATGTGAAAATCGGATCTTTAGAACGAAAGTAAATGCATGAGTATAGAGCATGAGAATTAGTTTTAAACAATTTACTATCAAAATTTTTTCCCTGAGTAGTTTTGCTTGCATGGATTTGATAATAATTTTAACCATTTTCAAGAGATGTCTGTGATATTGCCAAACTTCTCTATGCATTGAATGTTAGTAATAATTTAGATGATAATATAAATTTTTTCCGCAACTTATAAATGACAAAAACCAATTGAAAATATCTGTTTGGGACATATCAGCACAGTAGGCAATGGTACATTTCAGCATAGTAGGCAATGGTACATTTCAGCATAGTATTAAAATTATTAGAATTTTTTCCCTAAGATAAGATAGAAAACTCATCCCAATGCTCCATTGTGCGCTATACTAATTCTTCACACACATATTCTCATGCTCTATTACTTGGTATATCCCTAAAACAACTAAGTTTGCATTTAATTATGTGAAAATTGGATCTTTAGAACGAAAGTAAATGCAGAATGTTTCTTTTCTTTCATTGTATAGCCACTAAAGAACATCTAAAAAAATACTCAAATTACTTTTTCCTGGTTTAAAATATTGATATCAATATTATGCTGTTGTTGTTCATTTCTAAGTGCGATTCTAAAGTCTTCTTCGATTTTATCCATTTTCCTTAGCAAAGAATCCTTTTCTTTTGCAGCAGAATCTATGCAATTCTTATGAAGTTCCTCTAAGCTCTTAATTTGGCCTAGAGAATATTTAAAAAAATTAACATAAAATAAATAAGAAGGAAATAGATATTTAATTTTTTGAGTGAAAGAAAAAAAGCACACACAGGCCTATTAATTCTATTATTCCAGGTTCCATTTTCAAGAAACTAATATGATTTTTTTAATTGATTAAAAGTGAATCAAGGAAAAAGAAATGAGATAAAGAATGTCGAAAGTCTATCATAATTAATGGCCGACAGCACTGTTAATGTTAACCCTTAAAATTAAAAAAAAATTATAAAAAATTGCTAATATGTCACTTTGTTTAATTTAATAATAATCGGAAATTTCTTGAATAAAAGAGTAGGAAAAACAAATTTTTCATAGATCTTTAAACCATATATTTTAAAATAATAATAATAATTAAAAAAAAATAAGAAGAAAAAAAAACGAGCGAAATCGGTCAAATAGCTTTTGAGTAATAAAAATTTATCATAATTATTGCATGTTTAAGTTTTGAATCATAGACAATTATTTGGCAGGGGAAACATTTTTTTTTTTACTTAAGATTGGTCGCTTTATGTAATTATAATTATAATCTTGCGGAATTTTTGGGGCTTCATAATTTTTTGTTTTTAATCCAACAAAAGTTTTCGTTCATCTTAAATATCGATACTTCAGTAAATGTCGATTTTATGAGCGATTTGTATTAAAAAATCTTGTAACTTAAATATGGATGGTATAATTTTTCTTATTTTTATTTAATTTGTGTCAGGGAGCCGCAAATCCTCGCACGAGTTTTATTATAAATGATTTTTCTGTTTTGAGGAAATTTTCGTAGATGCGTTCACGTTTTTTTTAAAATTAAAATAGTAATAATAAAAATTTTTTCCCATTCCAACCCTTTAAGATTGAACGACAGGTAGCCACAAAGCGGCGATTCCCTGCAAATTTTAGACAGCCGATTTGCAAGATTAATTACATGTATATATTTTAAATCCACAGTAAAAGATTAATCTATTTGCGCCGCAAAGTGGCGAGTACGTGAGCTAGGACCAAGTATTCAAATAAATGCCAAGTAGCGGAGTCAATCATTAATTGCAAAGAGATGAGTTCGCGAGGGAGAACTAAGCGTTCAGAACAATGCTTCCGAAGACAGCAGGGTCAATGAGAAATCGCAAAGTAATAACAAAAGGAAAAAAATGATAAAAGAAAATAAATTAAAACTTTATATTGAAAAATAGCTATAATTTCAATCTAAAGCTATATTCTCAACAATTATAAATGATACAGTAATTTTTTAATTTGAATTTCAATTCAAAATTTTATAACTTAAATTCAAAAGCTTCAAAACAGCTTTATTTATCTTATACTTTTAAATAAATTCCATACACGAAATTCTCTTCGAAAACTTCTATACTAAAAATTAACTAATAAAAGATACTTAATAAACATGAATAAAAAAAGCATAGCAGATTCAATTCAAAAGATGGTTTCATAATCAGACAAAAAAAAAATTTCTGCAGAACAAGCAAATAATTACTTTCAGAAAACAGATTTGATAAATGTTATTTTATATTAAAACTATAAATGCACAAAATTTTATAGTAATATTTTCTGTAAAAATTAAAGTTTTTTACTCAATGAGCAGGAAAAAAAAACTGTTTTCATCCTAAGAGGAATTTCATCACTTGATGCAAACGATTTGGAATTAAAACCTAATAGCCTGGAAAACATTTTATTTTCATTACTACAGAATGCTTTTTATTTCTTAAAAAATAAAATCTACGCAAATCTAATTTCTCTAATCTAAGTTACGCGCAAGACCGATCCTTCTATAATTTGACAGCAAAAATTTGCAAAATTTCAGAAAACTATATTTGCAGTTTTATATGAAACCTAAATATATGATGTCAGTCAAATAATCATTAATTTTTATCGTTTGCTGATTAAAATTATTCAAAATGCGACTTATCAATCACACATTTTACATTTTGAAAAAGACTTGAAAAAATAAACATCACATTTTTTGAAGCTTTCGATTTTTTCCAGAGACGCAATTTAAATAAAGATGAAACCAAATCGTGCCGATTAAGCAAGATTATTATGGAATGGTCTATACTAAATCGCATCCTGCACACAATGGAACAAATTCCGAAACTCAGCTCATGAATTATTATTTTTAACGGAGTGACATTAAATTATTGACAAAACGACGCAAAAATTTCATTCTTTAAATTCAATATGTTTAAAATAATTAGCAGTCTTTCAATGGTAAACGTTTTCACAGCAGCGATTGAACTTCTTTTATAAAGTTGGGATTTCGCAAAGAGAAGCTCGATTAATTAAGGTGGAAAAAAGTGGCTGAAAAAAGTGGGAACTGCGGCTGCATTTAAGATTATATATTTAAGGAGAATTCATGCTCTTTTTTCCTGATTTTAACTGATAAAAACATTCCCGGACTTAAAATGATGTAAAATGCATCTCAAAATTTTTACCACAATTTTGTCGCACAAGTTTAATATATCTAAATTCACGACTTTAGAACCAACGTTTCTATAAAATTTTAAAATATTTCAAAAGCTATAAGAGTTATTGTGGACTTTTGTCCAATATTTCTAGCTTTGTATAAATATAAAAATGCAACAGCAAAACAGAATTTTATATTTAAAAGAATTTTTAAATCTAATATTTACAAACTCAGCAATATTTTGAAATTTTTACAAACATAAAAAGTACATTTTCAGAGATGCCATTTTCCCAAATTAGCTACCAGTAATCAGAAGTACAATAACACAGAAATATACAGTCAACGCTTACGAAATTGAAATTAGCGTATTTATACAGTGGATCCGATGAAGTCTGTTGATACCCCCAATAATTTCTGAACGGCAAGAACTATCGACATAAATGTGGAGTCTATGTATAGTGAAGTCGCCATGTATTACGCAAGGAAACCATTTACAGCACTAAGTGGAGATAAAAATTCTGTTAATGTTCTTTTCGCAAAAATATGCGAAAAAAGTAAATTTTAAAGCATCATTGATTTAGTAAGGGAAGACTCCTTCCTTACAGTAATGTTAAAAATAGGAGGCGTAAAATTCGTATTTGGTTTGCAACTCCCGAAATTGCAACGCAACACAACGTGGAAGAAGGGAAAAAAGAAATCTGTCTTCGTGGATGACTTTGCGACGGAACTAACTCGCATTTGCGTTATATGGAGAGGAAAACACGAGTCACATTGTTAGCCTGACGACAAAGGGTCTCTAACCCATGATCGGTCTACTACTGAGGGTATTTTATAAAAATAAAACTAGAAAAATAGTTAATAGAATCATTAATAGTAGTAGGTTTAATAAGCCTTATAACAAATCCCAATAGTGAACCCTAACCACTTTAATCATTTTGTGATTCTATTGGTTGGAGGAAAGTACATTAAAAAAAGGGCACTAATTCTACAATAATAGAATGTATAGCTTTGATATGGGATTTTCACATTTTCTTAAATTTTCAAATATCATTCATATTTGAGTAGCTGTAACCCTACAATACGCAGCAGCCCTAAAATACGCAGCATTTGCAACATTTTTTGGTGGTTTTTATACCGGAAGATTTTTTTCTACAAAATCTGTAAGCATATTTAACAAAGCATATTCGACTATTCAGCATTTCTTTTTTTAATATTTATCCCAGAAGAAAAAACACATTATATAATCAAACCAGGGTTGCTAAAAACCAGGCTTTTTCAGAAAAAAGAAAAACTGACCTGTTTTCATTAAAAAAAAGACTGGCTTTAATTTAAAAAAGAAAATTTAAATGATGTTTATATGTGCAATGTAATTAGGATGTAAAAAAAATTATACTATGTTTTTTATTAACAATAATTTAGGAAAGATATTTTTTTACTCTGATTTTACTAGGGTAAACTAACCAGTGAAGGAACACTTAAGCTTCGCTTGTCTTTTAAAAATTCATATTAATTTCAAAATTCGTAATTTTCGTTAAATGACAGTGTCAACACATTTGTTACTAATTGCAAATTATGCAAAAAAAATTGTACAGAACTTACATAATATTGTTTTAAAGTTTTGGAGGTTCAATTAACAAGTAGTAAGAAGACCAAGTGAAGGAACACAAAATTTCCCAGTGAAAGAACACTTAATTTTGGTTATTTTTTAATGCTCTTTATGAATTTATAAGCCATACAAATATTTAAAAACAAGCCTATTCTTGAAATTATAACATATAAATACTTGGAAAATGTTAACTTTTTTTTGTAATCATGAATTGAAAAGTAAAGTGTCAACAAATTAACACATACTGTTCATTCACTGGGAAATCTATGACCAGTAAAGGAATATGCCTGTTCCTTCACTGGTTAGAAGTTGCTTTTTGTATTTTTAACATACTTTGATGCAAAACATCACTAAAGGTACAAGAAAATTAAAGTTTTTCTTTAATTTTCATTAACTTAGAAAAAAAACCAATAAAGGAACACTTGTTCCTTCACTGGTTTTTCATCGTTTGATGATCCAGTGAATAAACACCCCTTTATCTCAGTACTTGATTATACTATGGTGCTTAAAAAAATAAAAACTTCAATAGCTATATTTTGAATTCTCTTTCTCACAGTGAGAAAAATAAAACTATAACATGCAATTAATTGCACTTTAAACAGATAACTACAAACACTGACCTTATAAATTTGTCAAAGAAACAAGGTGTTGCAGAGATAATAAGAAGTTCAAAAATTTTTCCATAGAAGTCTATGTGATCCAAAACATTGCTAGATGACTTCCTATTGTTTGATAGTAAGCTATTGTTACCAATCAATCTAAAGAAAAACTTTCAAATTTTCATTTTTGATAATATGAATATATGAAATGTTCCTTCACTGGGTAGTGTTCTTTCACTGGTTGGTTTACCCTACTTATATTATATACTCTGAGTTTGAAAGAAAATTCAAAATGAGTAGAATTATACTCAACTAAGCATAGAGTTGTAGCTTTTGTTTTTAAGCATCAAAAATAAAATTATATCTGTACTAGTTTAAATTTTTAATGTACAGATTAACTTTAATAAGAATATTTTTTTTTACTCAAATCTGCTTCATTTTTTAATTTGAAATTTATGAACGAGGTTGAAGTTGATGAGCGAAGTTGAAACTTATTTTTTACTTTTTCTTAAGGACATTTATTTAGTAATGTAATAGCTGTTTTTTTTCTTCATTGTATCCTTTTTTTTAAAATAAGTGTTCATAAAAATCCTAGATATAAAAAACAGCAATGCACTTTTGCCATTCTTTATTACGATGTTGCGTTTTCGTGATTATTGAATCAGAATTTGGGTGGTAATATTAATATAAACTGAGAAAGATTGGGATAGAGTTCCGGAAAAAAAGTGCAAACTAATGAGCTGAATTTTTTCATAAGAATTGTGAACTAGAGACACATAGATCAATAATAGAAAGCCCATTGGTGGAAGGTATAAAGAATGTAATTTTTTTTTTTGGTTTTAATACATACATCTCCTTTGTGTAATAAGTAAAATTAACATTAAGAGATCCAAACTTTTGATTACTCTCCTGGGAAAAGGTTTGAGACCATATTTTCTACATTGCAGCTATGCTGATCCCCCATATTTTGAGGGTCAAAAATATATTGCAATAACAGCATGTTTATTAGGAGAAAGTTAGTATTCTTTAATGTCAAATTTTATCATTTAAAAATATTGTTTGCAATAAATTATGAGCATATTTGAGGCCAGGTTCTCAAACTATTGAAACTGAGAGGAAAAATAAACTTGAGGGTGCCCCTTGGCGAAATTGGCAACTTATGTTTGGCGCTATTCCTGTTTGCACGGAACACCGTGGTAACAGGAATGGCGGCCAAAACATAATGATATTTTAATAAAACATTGGAAAATTTCAACAAAACATCAGATAAAGCTTGCAATGAACCCAATATAAGCAGAATTAATAAATCCAATAAAAAGGATTTTGAATCGAAGCAAAAATTAATGGAGTAGAAGCAGAAAGAAAAGGAAAAAAACAACTAACTTCTTCATTAAGCTTGAATATTCTCAGATTTAGGTGCACAGAATTATCTAATAACAGTTAGATACTATCTAAATATATCATGAATAGAATCTGTGTACCTCCATCGCCACATAAATTCGACGAAATACGAATCGAAAATGGCGTCTGTAATACCGGGCTAGTGTTGTCATTTTTTTCTTAAATCCCTTTTTATGACTGCCCACATACCTTCGATTTTATTGACAAGATTCAAAAGTAACCTTACCAGCCGGTATCCAACGTAGAACTAACGGAACATTTAAAAATAACGTTAAAATCTAAACCAATCAGAATCCGATTCGGTTTCAACATCACTCAGCTTGGCGATCAACCACGATTACAACTTGGCGAGAATCAAGGGGCACCCTTAAATATAGTCTACCCAAAACGGAGTTCTGGTAAGTGAAAATCCCATAATTGGATCAAAAGTTACTCATGGTGTTTCGTTTCTTATTTTAGACACTGTACATAAAAGAAATAATTTTTATTAAACAGAATTTAAAATAATGACTAAAGTAAACATACTTAGTTATGAGTTCTAAATTTCAAAAACATATTATTATTTATATAAAAACCTACTTTAATTCTAAAACATGAAAGATGATTACACTTATAAATAATATCATGCTGATGCTAACATACAACTCACCAGTGGGATATTCTCAACTCAAGAAGACTACTGATACATAACCACCTGACCTATGACCTCAGTGCCAGTTGGTTGTTTATAAACAAGATAATGTGTTAATATTCTAGACATTGCAGGATATTGCCAAGATCAAGCCAAGTTTCTCCACATAAGTTAGAAATGTTGCAAATACAATGCCATATGGAATATCAAATTCGAGAATTAAATCAAATTTGTTAATTAAATACAGTGTCTTATGGCATATAAAAGTTGTTGAAATATAATTCTTTCTCGTCTAAGTCTTTCATTTAGAAAGAATCTTCATGGTTAGCTTTATTATTTATTTATGCATTTTATTGTTATTATTTTTGTTTCGTGTAACTAGCAACTTTGCCACATAATTAATTTGTTTATGTTCTACATGGATTTGTGCCTATGTTTGAGTAAAGAAATAAATGAACCCAATTTTTCTTCTGGAAAAAATATATATAATGCATCATTTAAAAGAATTCATATCTTATGGACTAGTCTCAATTGAAATATAATAATAAAAATAATAAAAAAAAGTTGGTAACCTAAACAAATGCCACATTTCAACAACCAATTAGGATCCATACCCATGATAACATTGCTTGCAGATATCCAATTACAAATGAAAGATGTTAAGCATCAGCAAGGAAATTTTTCATTAGATCATAATATTTTTTATAATGATTTAATTGAAACATTCGTTGCAAAAAATTACGAGAAAAATGCGATGAAGCTTAGAGAACACTTCTTTCATAATATTCTGTATCTTAATTTTCATGAAGTTGATTAACAATTCCTACCTGAAAACATTAATTTATTGATTTATAATTCCATAAACTAAAACAATATAGGCTCAGGAAGGGTCGAATAGTTCTTGGAAAATGAAATTTAAAAATGAAACTTTTTGTAAATTTTATTACTCTGAAATAGTTCAATTTTGTAATTTTGCACTTTAAATTTCATAGCTAAACATGGAGTAAAATTTTTTATAACTTACAAAGAAAAATTTTTCCCCATTATTAAATGAAGTAATGTAAAATAATAAGTAATCCCAAAAATAGAAAATGGTACATTTTTTATGATTATTCATTATTTTACATTACTGAAACTAATTACTTAAATCATTAAAATTAATAACAATAAGAAATTATTTCTTACACAAAAATGTCTCTGAATAAATTAGCTTTGAAACTTTGTCCAAAATTGTTTTTAGCTGTTCAAATAGTTACAGAGATATTGTGAAATATTTAAATATGGAAATCGGCATCAAAAAGTTTAAACTTCCAATGACTCTCCTAACTACACTGTTAAGATCATGAGCATATTTTCCAGTTTGATGCTACTCCCCCCATATATTGATAGTAAAATGGGTGGGGAAAAAAAGTTGATTGCTCATAAAATGTGCGATTTTGTAACCTACATACTACCTGAGAAAATTAATTAATATACTTATTATATTAATCAATATACTTATTATAATATTAATAAGTTATACTTAATAGGGACTACCAACTACTATGCTCTCTAAAAATATCCTATAAGGTGGTATACGATTACAATCTAAGGCTTCAGAATTTTTGGTAATTTTGTCAACATAATAAAAGCTTTGAAACAAAAGAGTTGGAAAAAAGTGGCATATGACATGAACTTTTAAATCTTTCACATATAGAGGTGTGGAAAATAGTTTTAATTCAAATTTACAAAATAAATAATCATGTATTAAATCATAAACTAAACTCCCACTATAAGAACTTTTTCTAAAAAGTATAGAAAGTTAACAGCCTCAAACTGAACAGTAAAGATCACATCTTAGGAAGTGAAAATTCAATGATTATGTCTAAAGTTGTAAAGGTGTACTGATTTTTTTAAAAATTTTTTGTTCCAGTCCAAATTTACCAACATGATTTCTCATAAAAATCCAAGACATTATTTGTCTAATAGCAATAGTTTATAATTCATATAAATTGCACCAGATGTTTTAAGATTCTTTAAAACTGCAGTAAAATAATGTGATTAAAACATACCTTGTAAAGTTGAAACCAAAGAAACCTGCAGGTTCAATTCTCTCAATGCATTTGTTCTCTCATTCTGCAAATCAGAAATTTCTTTCTGAGTTGAATACATCTTCTTCTCCAAAACAGTTTTTTCTTGATTCAATGCAGAGAAGGAATTTTTTAATTCCATAATTTCTTCCTCAGCAGATTTTAGTTTTACAGACAATTCACTTTTTGTCTGTAGTAAAATACTCTTTTCAATATTAACTTCACTAAGGAGTTCATTTTGATGTTTCAACTCTTCTCTGACTTGTTCTAATTCACTTTCAAAAGTTTTTCTTTGACTTGAGTACTTAAAAAAGAAAAATTAAATAAATAAATGAAAAATTTAAAGTGCTGAACAAAAAAATATATAAAAGTCGGCAAATACAAGAAATTATTCAAATGGATAACAACATATACATTAATTAGTTTTATAATATAATACTTGTCGCACGACTTTTAAGTATGGGGAAACTATGATAACTCGATATGGATCAATGTTAACTGTACAACAGTTAAAGACATATTCAAGAGTGGGAAGAGACAAATGTATTTATTCCAGAGCTCATGACCGCTGAAGGCCAAGTCAAAATTTCTTTTTTATTATTTTTCTTCATATTTTTACAAAAATTTGGTATCTTTTATAAAATTTAAAAGAGAAATTGCAGAGTATTTTTTTTATACACATATGAGGAAATATAAAATTTACAATTTTGTATAAAAGTTCCTTAAAAATTTTTCAAAATAAGAAAATAAAACTTTTTGTTCACTGAGGAAGGGACCAGCAATATGCTTCATTCTGAGGCCTATAAAACCAGTTTCCAGCCTTGATGCCAGTAACATAAGTTAATAATAGCTAACAAAATATTGATAGTAAAGTTAACTAATACAATAAGTAAACAAAAATGCCATTTTTAATGATTTATAAACAAATAATTGTTAGAGACGTTTATACTGCATAGAAGTAAAGGATATTTTATTTAGAATAGACCAAAATATAATATTTTACATTTTGTTTAGATTATAATGTTGGTAAAATTTCAAAATCTACATTCATAAATTAGAGTCAATAGTTTTATTTACTTATTTATTTCTGCATATTGCAGTTAGAGTATACAGAGATTTACCCAATACCTGCAATGCCTTGTTTCTTGTCAAATCCCAACCATTCCAAACTAATAAAATTTTAATATACCAAAATGAAAAGATTATTCTTCGCTTTTGACAATTATTTTTATAACATAACACTGTTGCAATATATGCTGCATATTCATTTCTAGCATTAATTTCAAGCACTCTGTACTTCCATTATTTGTTTGTCTAGACAGGAATTTGTTGAAGTAAAATTTGTAGACTGTGTGATATTTTATATATTTGTGATATTTATATAATATTTTTATGTCATATATGATATATTTATGTGATATTTATATGATATTTTATATATTTGTGATATTTTAATCTAAGTTCATTAATTGAAACCATATTGAACTGAAAGTCTGTTTCATTTTTATGCGATTTCATAAAAATAAACTTCTTTCTTTGCAATAAAATATAGATAAGAAAAGTAAAAATTAGCAAACAATAAAAGATTTTAAATTGAAAGAAACACACAAAAATGTAATACATATAAAGATATAACTTCCATACCAGTGGGGCTGTCCATAAATGTTGCGCTTAGAAAGGTGATGCGGCGTGAAATCATGTCAGTTTTTGACAAGGGAGAGGGAAGAGTAATAGGAAGAGTGACACTTCACTTTTTGATTTAAAAAAAAATGCAAAATCAGCAGATTTAATATTTTTACATTATTTATTTCAAATTTTTGTCATGCTCATCAAAATACATTGTTATTGTTTCACTCATAATTTTGGTTAAAAAAATTAAGTTAAAGTTTAAAAATAGAATTTTAAATATAGTCCATAAGACACGCTTTGTTTTTGAACTGCTATCATATGTTTATGTAATATAGCTTGATATGTGGCATGGGCAGAGCCGGATTATACCTTTGGTAGGCCCTAGGCATAGCCGTTTTTGGGCCCTTCCCTCCTTCCCCCCCTCTTTTCAAAATATATGCTAAAATGTACATGCTAATGCAAATGTATATGCAAAATATATGCTAAAAACTTTGTAGATGAATTTTTACTATTTTCAAATTTGTATGAACCTGTTTAAAATTNAAAATTACATCTCGCCAATAAATCTGTTATACACAATGTATAAATAAAGACTTAAAATCAATGCTAAAATTAGTCGTGCATTAATCTTAAAATCGTGCTTCTAATCATATATTAGAAATTGAAGATAGGTAATAGACATTTGTTAGCAACAGAATCAAGGTGATAGTGTTAAAATTCAATTACAGAGAAAACTGTTGATTACCATACTCTTGTATGTTGACCGCCTATCTAAATTGGCCTGTATTATCAAGAAATGAATTTATTCTATCCAATATATGGGAACAAAACCTACATAACTATACTACCTATCTATTTAATATGTGAATCACTTAAACAAGAAAAATTTGTCTAAGCCTGTTGTTAAATGTTATTCTAAATACTTAAGTTAAGCAAAACAAAAACTTAATAAAAATTTTTTTTTTGATTTTATTGTATAAAATTTTCCTTGAATTGATGAGATAGTACCAGAGATGCCAACTGCTCCGGACACGCCAAAATGATTTTAAAAAAACGATAAATAACTACAAAATAAATTTTGCAAATATTTGACTATTTTTGCTTGCTTTTTAAATGGTGCAGTAGGACTTAAGTTCTATAAAGTGGTGAATTATATAAGCCTACGAATTATTTAGAAATAGTGGTGGATAAAAATCAACTAAATTGAATTTATTAAACTAAGAATCACAATTGATAAACTACCACTTTAAAAATATATATATTTGCTGTCCAGAGCAAGTTGGCATCTCTGTAGTACTGAAAGTTAATCAAAATCTTTTAACTCTATCTCTCAACTTTACATTTTTTTAAGATGTGAAGTTGACCACAAAAGTTGTGCATCACAAGTGGTCAACTTAATCACCTTCCATTGTATTATTTTAATAAACATAAATAATATATAAAAATAAAATGAATTAAATTAATGTATGCATAAAAATAAATATATAAAAAGAAAAAATCACTAAAAAGTAATAAAAACAAATATGTTTGAAATTAATTTTCAAAAATGAGAGAAATTAAGAATACAATTTTGAAAAAAGAAATAAGTTATTAGTTATTGGTGTAGAAAAATAACATTAATTTCTTTTAATTAATAACTAAACTTAAATGTGTTTTTCTTTTACAAAAAAAAAGATAATATTTCTGAAGTACTCTTGAGTTTATTTACCTCATTCAGAGATTTAGCAAGATCAGCTTTTTCACATGAAAGATTTTCATTTGTACTTTGCATTGCGGTTAAAGAGGCCCTGACAGATCGTTCTTCATCTTGCAGATTAGCTATTTGTTTCTTCATCTCAAGAATCTGGTTATCTAAACCAGACAAAATACCAGCTGGGAAAAAAAAATTATTAAGATTATTTTCGTACAATCCTAATTGCAAAATATAAATTGAAAATATCTTTTTTTTTTCTCTTAAAAACTTTAAAGTATAAAAATAGACAGTCTATTAAAATCATTTTTTTTTAAAATTTTATGTTATATAACAAATTTAATACATAAGATAACTAAGTTCTATTACATGTATATGCCTCAGTAGTAAATCATGTTTTTTTTAAAATTTTTTCTTTTGTATTTTCAGAGTTTTTTACTATATTGAAAATTTAAGAGACAGAGGAATCCTTCAAAAACATGAGAAAATATTTGCGAATATAACTACAGAGTTAATAAAAGCCAACAACAAGGAGGAAAAGTATAGCTTCATGCTTCGAAATCACTGAGAAGCCACAGTACATACAACTTACAGCATGATAAAAAGGAAGAAAAAAAATTGAAAACTTCATTTATTTAAATTATCTAATAATAAAAATTATCTAATAAATACATAGATAAACATGTTATTATTTTTCACAAGAAAGTTTTGAGTGTGAAAGTTGGATGAATATTTGAGGCAGCCAACATTCCTTTGCTAAATAATGTAAAAACAAAGAAAATAAAGAATTTTTAAATTACATGTTATGATATGAAAAAAGACAAGATTAATGTAAAAAAAGCATGAAAAAAAATTACATAAATGATGAAAAGTTATAAGTAAAATAGATAAAGAACTTTTAATATAAAATCAAAATAATGAAAACACTACAAGAAGTAAATCTGGAAAAACTTACAAAATTTCACTTTTTCTTGTTCCAATAATTCTTTATCTAATACAACTGACTTTAAATTTTTCTGTGCTTCAAGTAGTTCATCTTTAATGGTATCTAAATTTGCTTCCATGTCAGCTGATTTTCGGGTGCTAAAAAATAAAGTTAATTATTTATAAGGAAATAAAGTTGATTATAATAAAAATCAATTTATAGCAATTAAAAAATTAACAGGCTTCAGTGACAAAACAAAAGAACATTAAATGAATAACTTTTAATCTAATGATTAGATGCAATCCTGATGGTAAGGTTCTTTTCAGATACAGAAAAGTTTAATTAATAAGAGTAAATGATAACTTATATTAGAAAGCCAGGTACCAAATTATACTTTCATTGAGTAAATTCCTGAAAAAATTGGATTTTCAGGACACTTTTTTCTTGAAATATATAGATTTTTTTACCCTTATAGGATTACTCCTGATCTGGAAGACAGGAAACTAGTTTGTTGCTTCAATTCTTAATGTTATTTTTATCTTTTGCCTATTTAGCCATATTTCTAGATTCAAATGCAAAAATTAAAGAATTCTTCGCATAAATTTACAAATTACATTTAAGTAATTCAATCAATAATATTCAAAGATAATTTAAGCAAGTAATAGCTTTCAAAATTCATGTATTATTTCATTTAATAATCATACAAATAATTGATACATTCTCATCTTTTGAAAGCAGAAATATTAGATAACAAAATATGTTAAGTGAATATTAATATTACATTAAGTTAAACAACTCCAAAGATATAAAAATTCAAAGAATTTTTGAATTTTTACTATACACTTTATAGAATAAATAAGATTATTAGGATACACTTTGTAGAATAAATAAATAAGAACTTTTATGATACACTTTATGGAATTTTTATTACAAACAACTATATTTCAAACAAGATATAAAATTAATACAAAATTGTGAGAAAAAAAGCATCGGAATTACATAATCACTTGTATACATAGCCTTTTTGCACTCAACTAAAGGGTAATTTACACTATTTATTTACAGACTTAAAATGCATACAACTTAGTTAAAAAGAAATCTAGCAACTGTAATAATTTCTATTAAAAATAAATCTGGGTATCACTTACTCTTAATCCAATTTTTATAACTTTCATCTTTTTTTAAAATTTTTAAAATATTAAAAAATACTCATGACAGGCATAACACAATATGTAAATTTTTAATTTACTTTTTAAAAATTACTTAAAATTTCTAAAAATTGAAGAGTAAATAAAAACCTTACTTATTTTAATAAAAATTATTAGAACTTCTGCCACCTTTTTAACTAAGCTATAAGCTTTAAAAAATTGCAAATCTGTAATTTATAAAAGGTGGAACTATTCTATAACAAGGAATCAGAATACTCAGAATGCAGTATATTGTGAACAAGAAAAAGAGGTTTCTTCTTGNGATATAAAAATTCAAAGAATTTTTACTATACACTTTAAATAAGATTATTACGATACACTTTATAGAATAAATAAATAAGAACTTTTATGATACACTTTAAGGAATATTTATTACAAACAATTATTTTTCAAACAAAATATAAAGATAATACAAAATTGTGAAAAAAGAACATCGGAATTACATAATCACTTGTATACATAGCCTTTTTGCACTCAACTAAAGGGTAATTTACACTATTTAAGAAAGTAATATTCACAGACTTAAAATGCATACAACTTAGTTAAAAAGAAATCCAGCAACTGTAATAATTTTTATTAAAAATAAATCTGTGTATCATTTACTCTTAATCCAATTTTTATAACTTTCATCATTTTGAAAATTTTTAAAATATTAAAAAATACTCATTATAGGCATAACACAATATGTAAATTTTTAATTTATTTTTTAAAATTTTCTTAAAGTTTCTAAAAATTGAAGAGTAAATAGAAAACCTTACTTATTTTAATAAAAATTATTAGAACTTCTGCCACCTTTTTAACTAATTTATAAGCTTTAAAAAATTGCAAACTGAAATTTATAAAAGGTGGAACTATCCTATAACAAAGAATCAGACATTCAGAATGCAGTATATTATGAACAAGAAAAAGAGGTTTCTTTTTGAAGAGATTAAGAAATGCAACTACAATAGCCTCAACAAAATTAAATTTTAAACAGTTGAATCCAATACAGGCACAGGATCAAAAGATGGAATGAGAAAGTTAACTTCAGACCAAGATGATTAGAACATATAATTGCTATTCACTAAATAATTACAACCAAATAATTACTATTAAAAAAATCATTGTAAAATTTTTCCTGATTAAAAAAACAAACAAAAAAAAAAAAAAANAAAAAAAAAAAAAAAAAAAAAAAAAAAAAAAAAAAAAAAAAAAAAAAACATATGGAACAGTATTTACTTACTATTTCTCAACTTCAAGTGTCAAGCTTAATTCTTTTTGCTTTAAAACTCTTTTCTCTTCCTTTTCAATTTGTAACTCTGAATACAACTCTTCTTGAACACTCAGCAAGCGAACTCTTTCAGAATTATGAGATTCTATTTGCTCCCTTAAAGATCTAACAACACCATCCAAATAATTACTCTGACCGCTTCTTTCTCCCGTTTTAATATCCACCATCAAGTCTTGCATTTTCTGATTTCTAAAGAAGAAGAAAAAAAGATTAAGTTATTATCTGTTTAAAATGTTTCTGAATTTCACAATGCGCATTGATACAAAGGAACATAAAAAATTTTATGATTCTTACAATGATTCAAACTGAGAAGATAGCTTTAAGTTCAATTGCTGAGCATTGTGTCTCTCATCTTCTAGAAATTCAATGGTTCGTTGTTGCACGAGGTTTTGCTCTTTCAAACTTAATAATTTAGAATTATTTTCCTGAAATACAATCAAAATATAAATACGAAAACTATATTTATAACAAAAAATAACAATAAAAAAAATTCTATAACTTTTTTTCCAAAAAATTTAATATTTGACATAAAAAAAAAACTTTATTGTAAGAAAAAATATTAGTAATTTAGAATGCACTTTATAGGCTAATAGTCATGGAACTTGCTATAGATCAAAAATGACGGTTGCTACTGGTCGCAGGGTAACTAAAAATGACAAATGACAATGAAAACATTGCCCTCATAGTCGTTTATTATTATTTTCTTTATTAAATATGAAATTATCAGGAATATTTTATTATATTTCAAAAATTATTTTATTTCATGCTTGTTTTTAAAATTTTTCTTCATTTAAGAAATTATCCCTGTAATAATCACTAGAATTTGAGAAATGCCTTAAATTATTAATATTAACAGTTATTTTAGCTATTAAAACTTTCCATTTTTAAAAAAGCGGTCACAGTTTAAAAAAAAAAAGCTAAAATTGGCCACAGACCAGTACTAGATAATTTTGCAATTTTTCCCTTTAGAAGTTGCCTATTTTCACAGGGGAAAAAATGACACTAGTATCTCATTCTCCTCGCTTAATTTGGAGAACATTGTCTTCCACTTTTATAAATTTTTAGAGCAAAATACAGAAAACATTACATAAGAAGCGTGAGACATAACTACAAAAAGATCACATCATTAACACTATGGCATGATGTTCGTAAATCAAGCACCTTTAAAGCCTCTTTTATTAAAGAAAAAATATAAAAATTAATTTTCCTCCAAAATAATTAAAGAAAAATAAAAAATATATTTTTGTTTTGGTAGAATACCTACTTCAATTTGTTTGTGATATCGATTTACTGTAGTTCTCATGTTACTCAATGTTTCTGAAAGTTTCAACTCCACAGAATCCAGATCAAACTCTTCATTTATAAATCTAATTAAATAAAAAAGAAAATACAGAGTCAAAGTACATTAAAAAAATCACAGAAATCTATTCAAATAAAATAAACAGAATAAAATTTTAATGCATTTATTATAAGACAAAAGATATATCTATAATAATTTATTATTATACAAATAATACATAAAGATATTAGATTAAAAATTACCATATAAATTCTATACATTTAAAAAAAATGCTTCACATTTTTAACTTAAAAGGAGATTTTTGTGTCAAAACTAATAGTTTTTAGATGTATGAACAATAAATTGGCATATAGAATGGATGTTTCCATCAGATATTAGTACCAATTTTGATTAAATAGTAGAGAGGAATTCTATTAGAGACCACTTTTACAGAGCGACCACTTCCTTCAAAGACTTTCTTTAAGCATCTACTTTTTACCTAATCAGTTTTATATTAAGAATATGAATTCAGTATTTAGTTGAATGTTTAGTTTAAATAGAATTTTCAAGCGATAAGAGATTGATTTTATTGGGATAGTTTTGGAAAGTATGAAGGCTATCAATATAAATGCAAATTTTTCAGATTTCAAAAATAAACTAGAGGCAGATGCACTAGTTTATTTTTGAAGTCTGAAAAATTAGATTTCAAAATGTAATGTAAAATAAACATAATAAAATAGACATAATGTAAAAAGAAAAAAATTATAACAATATAAAATTTCTTTATATTTAAAAACCGTTAAAAATATGAATGCAGTACAACTTATGTATTATGTAGTGTTAAATAAATAAAAACAAAGAAACAGTTTCCAGTCGAGATATACCGGAAAAGTTATTATGTGCCATTAGATGCACCGTCACTATGAATCTGTATAAGGTTGCATTGAACATAAATGAGAGTAACCCAACATTGAATATCTTTTAAAATTGGCTGAGTCTGAGTATCTGACAGTGTGTCTTTAGACTAAAAATCTGGTCCATGTACCTAGGTCTTCTGCCAGGTCCAGGTAATGAATGGATAATGTAAACCTGACTGGGCACCTGGTTTTTAGTGTTCTTTATACAAACAAAGTGTAACTACTAGTTCATAAATATTTTGGGTTTAATTGTTTTGAAAAAGCAGATAAATTCTTAGAGCAGCCATCTCTTTTAAAGACAAATATTTTTTCATTATGAAGAGTGTTTGCTCTAGTAAATTTTCAATTTAATAGTAAAATCATGACAATCGAGTAGTCAGTACAATAATAAGCCAGATGCTATTTCATGAAATTTTTTTAACAGAGCTTAAATGTTTTGTCAACAAACGTTAAGAAATTTTTTCATTGTGAGATTAGTTGCATTATGCCATGTTTAAAAACAAAACCATAAGTTGCTGTTTAGACCATCTGATCATGCATATCTTGACTTCATTGTTCATTTAAAACTGATGTCCCAGCTAAAATGATGTCCTAGCTTCCTACAATTCTCTAGCATTATAGAGCAACAGAATCTCTTCATAAAACATATACAGGGACAATATTTTAATTGCCTTTCTGAGTATCCTGCTGATCTTTCACACTAGCTCCAGGAATTCAACAAGGAGCAGACATTATTGAGCAGCCTCACTGCTTTTAAAAGCAGAATAAATGGAGCAAGACAACCACAAACACTCTAATAAATAAATTGATTAATTTTATTGAATAACCTTGACTTCTGTGCTTTTTGGCATAAATTTTCTCATTAATCATTCAGTTTTTTTTTAAGCATAAAATATATTACAAAACATTTATACTAGTTACAAGAGTTAAAAATAAAATTAAAATTTTAAAAAAAAGTATTACAAGACAAAATTTGTTTGAAAAAATATTAAAGAAAACGAAGGAAATAAAAATATGACCACCTAAGCCGACGTCTTCTGGGGGTACCGGCCTCGGTAGCCATAAAAAGAAAACCATTTCTAATTGAGGGAGAAGCAAATGCTTAAATTAACTCCCTCAGTACCCCGATGGTTTTGTATAGAAGTCCAGGAAAAAAAACATGCAATACAAAAAACAAATTAAGAATAGAAACTCAAACAAAATCATCAGAAAAATAAAAACTCACATAGTCACAGGTCAAACATCGATTTCAAAAGCAAGCAGAATGAAAAGAAAAAACTAAAAACTAAAGAAAACAACGCCCTCTATTACAATGCGCAGATGAAGAATAAAATGAAAAAAGTCAAGAGAAAGAAAAACGTAACAAATTAACAGAATGCTTCAAGTCTTAACTGAGCAGCCCCAGTTAAGCATTCTATTAATTTGTTACGTTTTTCCTTCTCTTGACTTTTTTCATTTTATTCTTCATGTGTGCATTGTAATAGAGGGCGTTGTTTTCTTTAGTTTTTTTCTTCATTCTGCTTGCTTGTGAAATCGATGTTTGACCTGTGACTATGTGAGTTTTTATTTTTCTGATGATTTTGTTTCAGTTTCTTTTCTCAATTTGTTTTTTGTATTGCATGTTTTTTTCCCTGGACTTCTATACAAAACCATCGGTGTACTGAGGGAGTTAATTTAAGCATTTGCTTCTCCCTCAATTAGAAATGGTTTTGTTTTTATGGCTACCAAGGCCGGTACACCTTGAAGACGTCGGCTTAGGTGGTCATATTTTTATTTCTTTCGTTTTCTTTATTGTTACTTTTTTCTGAAATTTCTGCTGCTTTTTAGCGCATTGTTTTCCAAGAAGTTTTTTCTATTTAGAATTAAAAATATTTGTGTTTTCTTTTAGTATTTGAAAAAATATTGGAGTTTTCAGTATTTCAAACTTATATTAATTCCTTTTAGAGTATTTTAATACCTATATTTACTCCTTTTAGGGTAAGTGACTTTTATGGTATTCAATCTGATTCTTTGATATTTCAGATTGGGAAAATTTCCTGAATTTTCCTGGTCTGCTTCATTTCCTTGTTCTGTGGCGATTTTTATGGAGTCATAGCTGCTCAGTTATAACTTTTTTCATTGCCAGAATATACTACCACCGCACCAGTGATAAGCATGAATAATTCTTGTCACACAATTTAATGCCCATTACTATTTTTGGAAGATTTAGCTTTATGACCTCTGTGACATTATTTACATTATACAGAAAGTATATGGTCTCTTCATTCTAAACTTCTCTAAATAAAGAATTAGATAATGACTAAACAGTGCTATGGGCTTTTACTGCTTTTAATAGTTCTTCATTTTCGAAAATATGTTATATTTTATACTTTAATAAAGAAGCAAAAACATGTGCCTCATAGATAAAATACTAACTTACAGCTTAGTAGAAGCCTCAAAATCATGGTCTCTTGAAATAATGGTATGGATTTCTTTTAAAGTGCTAACAAATTTACTGATGATTTTTTCATTTTTGTTGAACTTAATAGACAAATCTGTTGTATCTACAGATCGAGATGATGCAGTCTGTAAAAGAAGTCATCAATTACTTTCAAGTTTACACAAGTTGGTTAGTCACAAATTTAATAAATTATATTATATCTCAATAATTGGATTAGCAATGTATGATACGAACACAAATAAAATATCTATACATTAAAAAGTCGAAAAACAAAATAATGAAAAGATATAATCTCTCTCATCAGCTCACAAGATTATATCCGTAAAAAGGAGTGCTTGCTGTATAATATTACATCAATATAGCCAAATCAAAGTACAGTAGAACTCCAATTATCCGAACTCCAACTATCCGAATCGTCGATTATCCGAATCGCTTTCAGAATTCCTATGGAAATATGAAAATATATTAAAAAGATAAGTTTCTCTTTTTTTTTCCTTTTTTTATATGAATAAAATAAAATATTAGTAAAGCCAAGGAAAGATTTATGCAGAGAAAGTTTACAGGATAGGACAAAGATTTGTGGAAAAGCTAAGATCTTTGCTGAAAAGCTGGGTTATTTATCTTTCAAAGCAAGTAACGGCTGGCTAAGGAATTTTAAGTCTAGGCACGGTATTCGAGAACTAGATTTAAGTGGTGAAAAGTTATCTGCAGACTCCAAAGCTTCTGACGAGTTTATAGAAAAATTTAAAGTTATAGCAGCCTCATAAGATTCCGACTTTTTATACAATGCCGATGAGTCTGGTCTAATATGGAAAGCCCAAAACCACTTTAGCCTCTAAAAGAGAGTGCAGTGCCAAAGCCTCCTAGTGCTCCAGGGCATAAAGCTAGTAAAGACCGCGTTACTGTGCTTAACTGCCCGAACTCAACTGGGCGCCATAAAATACCCCTTCTGTTAATAGGGAAGTCAAAACGCCCAAGAGCATTTAAAAATGTCAAAAAACTTCCCCTATTTTATAAAAACCAATACAAAGCTTGGATGACTGCAGCACTGTTTACAGAGTGGTACGAAGAAATTTTCATTCCTGAAGTGAAAAACGCCAAAAATCTGTTGGAAGTCCTGTGCTTTTGATTGTTGATAATGCACCAACTCATCCCACAGAAGAATTGTTGAAATCCTTAAGAATCCTTGAAATCCTTAAGAATCCTTAGAAGAAATCCTTAAAAACATTTTTTCCCCTCATTTCCACTATACATACAGTAATTAATTAAAATAAGCATTTTTTTAAAAAAAAATCCAATTATCCGAATTTTTGATTATCCGAACGGGGTCCGGTCCCAATTGATTCGGATAATTGGAGTTCTACTGTATATCAATAGAATAATGTGAAGAACACTCAAAAAGTTTAAATGAAAATAGAACACACTAAGTAAAAAATAAAACATATCAAGCAATAAACAGAAAATACAAACAAAACACAAAACGAAATCAAGAAAGCAAGTAGCTAATTCAAATGAACTTACATCTACCAGGAATCTTTTAAGAATGATTTAAAATATTTTCGTAATAAGATTACCAGATTACAGAATATGAAAACAAAAGCACAAATATAATAGAGTATATATATTTAAATATATATGAAAATACCAAATTGTGCTAAAAAAAAAAATAAAAAGTAGTTTAGCAGAGTCATAATTTATTGAGTACATGAGGAACAAAAATTATTGTATACTACACTCAACAACACTTGCAAACTATGTATACAAAAAAAAAATTTTTTTTTCAGCTCTTCAATGATTATTTTAACTTTCTATACAGAGCTCAAAACTAATAGTGGTCTTTTTTGTTTCTTACTTTTAAATCAGATCATCCAAACAATTATCAGTGGTCCTTTGGACCAGTAATCAATTTAAAAGAATGATTTGTTATTTTGGTTTTAGCAATTTCAACTTTAAGTAACTTTAATCTATTTTATTGTCACAAAATAACTAACATCATATTTGTGAACATTACACATTCTTTGCACTATTATTTTTTATTTCCTTTTACTTTATTAACCCTTTTTTAACAGAAAAAAGAATAATAATAAAGAAATCTAAATAGACTAGGAAAAATGGGAATGGGCTAGTAATATCTTTTAGTCACACGTTCACGGACACATTTCTCTAGTTATCTCATACTAATTATTTTTACCTTTAATTAAATATCTAGGTAACAATAAATAGCCCCATTTTAAATAATATACATATATAATTATTTATTTAATATAACTTACTAATTTCTCCATTGCACTGGATAAGGCAGAATTAACATTTTCTTTTTCTTCTAATTGAAACTGTAACCTTCCAATCTGATCATTCAATTCATTTATTCTAAGACAAGAAAAAAATGTAAGTGTATTTTATGTTTTTTAAAAAATAGATGATGTACAAAATTACTAATCAAATATTTTTTTCCTACCTGAAAAACGTGGCTATATAATAGTCTATTTTAATACACATTGTAAAAGAAACCCAAGAAAAAATGAAATCATAAAACTATTAAGACAATAACAAAATAGTTTTTTCTTCTTTCTTTCTTTTTTATTATTATTTTTTGAATAACCTTACATTCTAATAAAAAATGTTACATTAACAAACAAAAAAATTGTAATCAAATTATTTTTTTAACTTTTTATTATTCAACTGCATTTTGTTTCTAAATAAACAATTTTCTTTTCTTTTGGAATTTCTTTTTTTTTTTTTAATTATGGCAGAAGCAAAATTTTCAAATGAGAATTTAATAAAAATAAGTATTGAAGAACAAAGTAGATTAAATACAAATTTGTACTGAAAATCATAGTTATCAAAAACACAACAGCAATTTCAAGTAAAGTTCCAAAGTAAACTAAAAAGAGAATTCCAAAAAAATTGTCTACTTCATATTTAAAAAAAAATTAAAAGTGTTTTGAAAAAAAGAAGAAAAAAAATTATTAGACTTAAGGGTTGTTTAGTGTGATTATAAGTGAAAAGTTAAGGATCTATTACAACTACCATATCAAATATTTCTAAGTTTGTGTTCTTGATAGCAAGATTATTTTTAAAAATCAATTATCATTGTGAAGTTGAAAATAACCGTGGAACAGTTATTATGCAAAGCAGAGAATATATTTTGTAAGGAAAACTGAATGTAGAAACACCCAATCTTTTTCTTTTTTTCAACTTTTATTTCTACTTTTTGCACATCAAGCTAAGTTGATTTGAAAAGTTAAGACATTTCTATTATAATACAAATTAACACGCTTCTGCTTATCAGAAAACCTATGATCTATTAGCAGGAAAACCCATGCAATAGAGCAATTAAAAGCAAGGCTGTTGAGTTGAAGTTAAAAATTTTTTTTTTTTTTAAAATAAGATTTCATACATACAAATAAGACTTTGATCAGATGAAAATTATTTAGACCAATATTTAAATTGAAACACATCACTTAATTATTTAATTATAAATATTAAATTATCTTATCACAAAACTAATTATGTTATAATTAGAGCCCTATAAATTATGCGGAAATTTTTTAAAAATTATGCGGCTAGGATGCGGCGATTTAAGGGTGCGGTGTCTTTTAAAAATTATGCATGCAGAAGTTAGTCCAGAAGCTGCGTTTTCTTTCAAACTCTGTCTTTGTTTTGTAAAAATTTGGCCGTAGCAGGATACAGCTCTTTCACAATCTACTGAATTAGGAAGCACTGAGAGCACTTGTCTTGCATTTTTTTGTAAGTTCTGGAAACCTCTCTGAGACTACCTCTGAAATTCAGAATCTAATTAAGTCCTGGTTTGAATGATATATTCTTTGTAAGCAGCATACTCGAGTTTTATATCTTGGCCACTCATTCCTGGAATATTCTTGAATACATCGTCGTCTTCAATATTGAGGTTGACTATTTGTTCTGGATCGAAAACTCGAGCAGCTTTCATGAAGTTTAATGCAGGTTGACTAAACTTGGGCCGACGGTTTTTGAATACGTCTAGTTCTGGAGAGTAGTAAGTATTAAAATATGCATGAGTATCCATTAATATCTGAGCGTGTTCTGCAATGAACTGAAAGTCTTTGCAAACGTACTTGCTTTCCACCAAAACTTTGCACTGATTGAGACAAGCAGTGTCAGGAGTAAGGTTTATTTCACTGCTAAAAAATTCTATGTAAACATTACAATATTCTGCATGATATTGCACTGATTTAAACCAGGAATTCCACCGTGTCTTTATTGGTGCTGGACAAAGTTTAGCTTTCTTATTGTCATCTGTTAAAAACTTTAAAGAGCGGCGCTTTCTTCCAGGACAATATTTAAACAATTTCTTAAAGTTTCCTGTGAATTTGTCCACCTCTGTCAGATTCTTGGAAAGACCTGACCAAAAAGATTCTTGGAATTGAAGAAGAAGATATATTTCAATTGAAAAAAGAACCCTTAAAGAGAAATTTAGCTGGTAAGCGAATACATTTTGCTGAAAAATAAAAATTATACAGATATGCTGCGATTACGCGGAAAATTGTAAATTATGCGGATAATTGTGAATTATGTTGGCTTCCGCATAATTTATAGGACCCTAGTTATAATATTTAAAGTAATTTTAAATTAAGTACTTTTAATTCTATCTTTAAAAAAGAAATATCTAGTTTAAAATTAACATTTACATTATAATAATATCCAATATTCAGGATTCAGTGAAAATTTAAGTTCTGCAATG